ATATGAGAGTCCAGTCAAATCCCACCAGCTCCTCTATGGAAATAGATTTCTGTTTAATAGTAATTAGGTTTCAGGTCTCATTTTATTGTGAAAGGTTCTGCTTTTACTTTTACCTTCCCAACTGAACTTCCTTTCAATGTGTGGGCAGAGCAGACTTTGCTAGTCACTGGATAGTCATTTGAGTCCACGGACAAAGTCAAACCCTCTTTCACTGTTCCCCTAATAAGAAGGAGAGACATTGCATTTCTAAATATTAATCACCACCAAGTATCACCTCTTCTATCAAGTGAAGCCACAGAAATGCCTTAAGTGTAGACATATACACAATGGATCTCCGTCCAGCTGCAAAGACGAATGGAATTAGAACATCTGCAGGAAAACCATGAAACTGAAGATCACTGTGTTAAATAAAATAAGACAGCATCAGAAGGCAAATATCACATTTCTCTCATATGCAAAATCTAGAGTCAAATATATATATATATACATATATATATGTACATACATACACACATATACACACACATATATACATATATTGGTAGGGCATGAGAGTGGAAAGGAAACTATGAGAGAAGAGAATGAGGTCTAAAGGGAGGACGGTGGAGAACAAGAGAGAGTAATGTCATGTATGCGGAAGCAGCAGGAGGAGGTAGTATTGGGGAGAGGGTAGTACCCGACAAATAAAAATAAAGTATTAATGTATGAAAATATCCAAATGAAACCCGTTACTTTTATTTAAAGATTCAGTTTATTTTTAATTATGTGTATTTGTGTGGGCATGTATGTATACATGTATGTATGTATGTATGTAAATGTGTGGGGATGCCCACAGAGACCAGAAGATGTCAGAACCCCTGGAGCTGGAGTTACAGGTTATTGTGAGTGGCCCAACATAGGTCTTTGGAACCGAGCTCAGGTCCTCTGCAAAAGGAATATGCACCCTTAACTGTTGAGGCATTTTTCCAGCAACCCCCCTGCCATTATTTTTTATGCTAACTAAAAAAACAATGAAAAATAACAAAAACCTACCAAACAACAACAAAAATATTAAGATAGATAGCATAATACTATTAAAAATTTTCAAATACTACAGAATTATCTAATAAAAGGTACATATCTCTAGGGAGAAAACTATAATTTTGTTCAGAGACATTAAAGAAACCATAAATAGATGGAGAAATATATCCAAAGAAAGAGAGAAAATGTTTTCAACTTAGAATCTAGGCTATTTAGGAGAGGAAAGGAAATTCTATGGAAGGGACAGAGCAAGCAGAAGGAAACAGGCTGCCAAGACAGCAGGAACCAAGAGAATTTGTCTTAGAAACTGTCCTGATGATGACAAAATCACGAGTCATCAAAACCAAGATTTTTGGGTTTATTAAAGACCTCAGAGTCCACCTTTGAGAAAGGAGTCTTGAAGATCTGACCCTCCTGAATAGAGCGAACTTCGAATACACAGGACTCCAGATGCTTGGTACATAAGACTAACACATTACAAACCTATGAGAACAGGATGTGAGGCCATCTTGGTGACAATAAGCATGCACAAATGCATACTTGAAAATAAACAAACTAAGATCCTGAGGCATGTTCGTCTTTTTATTTGGCCTGTTAGGGTTTTCAGTTTCGTGGAATGAACATTTATCACATGGAGTTTTTAAATAAATTTCGTGAAGGGTAGGATTTAAGAATAAATCATGATGTTGAAATTTGACTAATTAAACTTTGGTACAGCACTGCTTGTTAAATTCTTAGAAATCAGCCAGGGGTGGTGGTACACGCCTTTAATCCCAGCACTCGGGAGGCAGAAGCAAGGCAGATCTCTGTGAGTTCAAGGACACCCTGGTCTACAAAGTGAGTTCCAGAACAGCTGGGGCTACAGACAGGCCCTGTCTCAAAAAGACCAAAACAAAACAAAACAAAAAAATTCTTGGAAATTTATTGTAGAATGTACCCAGAGTCTTGATAGCCTTCCTTTCTATTTCCTGTTCTTCCTTCAAAATATACAAACCGTTTTGTAAATGTTATCAATTCTTTTTATAAAATCTTCTTGAATTCCATGTTTAATGTGATGTGTGTAAAAGCCTGATAAACATAAGAGTGTGTAAATCATTATGCAGTACTAGGAAGGGTCACATATTTCCTTGGACATGGAGTTTTGCATGTTTCAAAACAGTATTTTTTACATCACAATTAACTCAGCATTTGAAAAAGTCCCGGAAAGTAAACTTTCTGCTCAAGTCATCAGATCTGCTAAATTAGCAGTTGGCTTTGAGAAATAATGGTTTAACTACACACAGATGAAGAATTTGGCAAGAGCTTTTAGTGTTTTCTCTTTCTGCTTTACTAATGAAGTTTCTTGTCTTTTTTGAGACTGGGTCTCCCAATAGCCCCAGCTGGCCTGGAACTCACTATGTGGACTAAGCTGGCCTCAGTCTTACAGAGATCCGCCTGCCTCTGCCTCCCGAGTGCTGTTATTAAAGGTGTGCACCACCATGCCTGACTATTAGTGAAAATTTTAATGGTGGGAAAAAAATATAATACAAAAGTACCCTGTAACTATGCCTGCTGTTTGGCTTCTCCCCCCCCCCACAAAGCTTATAAATCACAAAAAATACAGCTCCATAATTTCCATAAGTTTTCAAGCAAATTCTCTTCTAACCATAGACTCTAGATGTAGAGATAATCTTATCAGTGCAGGGGTAGGTATGGAACTTTCAGTGGAGGCAAAAGTGAAACGTAGGTGTGACACCTATTTCCTCAGGTCCTACCTCCACCCTACATTTACCTCTGCCCTGTCTTCCAGCTCCAAGCCTAGAAACTAAGGACCATGATTAATAGCAACCATTGTGCTCCAAAAAAGCCCATTCTATTTTTTAAAAAGAAATTTTTAAAAAATCAATAAAACAAGACTGGAGAAATGGCTCAGCAGTTAAGAGCAGTGGCTTCTCTTGCAAAAGACCTGGGTTCAGTTCCCAGCACCCACATGCTGGCTAACAACTATCCATAACCTCAGTTCTAGGGGATCCGACGCCCTCTTCTGACTTCCTGGGGGATTGCACGACAAGGGTGCATTTACATGCAGGCAATACACTAATACACACAAAATTAAAATAAATAAAATATTAAAACAATAAATGAAAAATTTAAAAAGAAAAGAAGCAATATCTGGAGCCATAAGTATGCAAGACTTTATTATATTTAAAGAGTAATATTTCTAGCATGTTTACCTGTAAGTCAAGGAATTCTCTTGAAGACATTTTTCATATTAATAGTCTTCTGTCCTACATACATAAAATTTAAAAGCTGCCTTCCTTAATTTCCAGTTTTAGAGTTATGTAGTCTTTATCAGGAAGGAAGATGGCTAACACTGATGGTGATTTATCCAACCCTAGGCTGTGCTTCTTCGTCTCCCTTTTTATCTCTTCCCTGGTCTAGTGAACTAGGCATACTTCTGGCCTGGTGAGAAGTACCTGCTAGTGATTGGTTAGGTCTGCCTGGCATCTGCCTCCATCCAGAGAAAGCAATGTCTGTGCTGTGCAGGTGCTTCCTGATCCAGGGCAATAAAAGGATGCAAATATTTTCTTTTTAATGCATGGCCCTAGCACAGTCAGAGGGAATAGGTGTAACAGTGCCTCAGAGCCCTAACCTTTTGCTTACAGCTTGAAAGTTAAACTTCAGGATCCACACACAGACTTTGACTCTACAGAGACCAAGGTAAGTAAAGGTCATTATCTTCAGATCATCAAACAAAAATAGATCTTAGCAACTGGACATCTAATTGCAAATTATGGTGCAGTTTCACAAAGCAAAGAGAACATGACGTTTACCTCTATGGCCCACTGCTTAATATTATTAGTTTTCTTCATGAGCCCTTAGATCAGGCTGAGGTGAAAAATGGCTATCTTAGTGGAATCAGAGAACCGATGCATTTCTCTTTGCAAAACTTCCTTAGGTTTTAATGTTTTATGTAATTTCAGAATAGAAAGCAGGTATGCTTTTGTGTTGTGCATGGACTCATTCTGTGGTTCTTGTAAAACTCTTTTGATAACGTTTTTCTTGCATTCTCATTTATCGTCTTCCTTTTACTTGACTTCTGGCATTCACGTTTCTTTAAAATTCTCTTAAATGTTGTTATTTACACCTGTATCCTTTATGACAGAACACCTGGCCATGGTCAGGAACTGTGAATGTCCTTTTCAATGACACCAGTGTTTCATGGTGATTTGGATAATTTGGTCAAACCACTGGCGACAGGCATGGAGGGAAATTTCAGTTGATTAATTACTTAATACATGGTGAACTTCCTGGAGTGTAGTTTTTAAAGTTATGTTATATCTTGTTCAACTCAATAATTATGGAGACTGTGTACATAGTAAAGAGAATTTTGATGAAGTAGTCTGGAGGACAGTGGAAAGGTGGTGAGTTATGATAAGAGTGGAGCATGGATCACTGAATGTGTAAATGCTTTGTAAAATCCACATGCTTGAAAAACTCAGAACAAAGCAGTTGAAGAAAACTATAAGTGTGTGTGCAGTTTATTTTAGAATCTTAATAAGTCTATAGTCCTAAATAAGTCTTATTTTTAGAAATTGGTTTTTATATTCAGAGTAATAAATTGTTGGGTTAGAAATAGGAAGGTTAAGCCAGGTGTGATGGCACATGCCTTTAATGACAGCACACAGAGGCAGAGCTGGTCTACATAGTGAGTGCCAGGCCAGCTGAGGCAAAGGAGAGACCCTGTCTCAAAATGACAGCACACAGAGGCCAGGCTGGTCTACATAGCGAGTGCCAGGCTAGCTGGGGCAATAGAGAGACCCTGTGTCAAAAAGACAAAAAAGAAAGAGAGAGAGAGAGAGAGAGAGAGAGAGAGAGAGAGAGAGAAAGAAAGAAAGAAAGAAAGAAAGAAAGAAAGAGAAAGAAGGAAGGAAAGCTAAAACAGAATCTAGCTATCTAGCCGCATGCTGTTGTCATTTAAATTATTTTAATTTATTTAGGACAATAATATGGATACAAAATCCATTCTAGAGGAACTTCTTCTCAAAAGATCACAGCAAAAGAAGAAAATGTCACCAAATAATTACAAAGAGCGTCTTTTTGTTTTGACCAAAACAAACCTTTCCTACTATGAATATGACAAGATGGTAAGACTCTATTTACTCCATTGTTTTTGTGTTATTTGCTATTTTTTCCTAAGTCTCCACAAAGTACTTGATGATAAAGAAAGAATATTACTGAGCTGGGCGTGGTGGCGCATGCCTTTAATCTCAGCACTTGGGAGGCAGAGGCAGGTGGATCTCTGTGAGTTCAAGGCCAGCCTGGTCTACACAGTGAGTTCTAGGACAGCTGGGGCTACAGGGAGACCGTGTCTCCAAAAAAGACCAAAAGAAGAAAAGAAAGAATATTAGGTTTATTAGTTTATACAGTACAGATCAACTTGTAGTCACTTACTACATTGTCTGTCCTCAACCAAAGTATAATGGATTCAAGATAAGCATTGAAAACTATTAATACATTGTATCTTTACAATAATGGTTCTCAACTGGAGGCACTTCTGTTTCCTGGGAGACATTGGACAATGATTGGTGCTATTTCCAGCTGTCACAACTAGTTATGGGGGTGGATGCACTGATGGCATGCAGTGAGCAGAGACCAGGGGTGCTACTAAATCCCCTACAGTGCACTGGTCACACTACACAGCAAAATGTTACCCAGTCCCAAATGTTAATAATAGTGCCAAGAATCACAAATGCTGCCATAAGACAATGTTAGAAATAACGGCATCTCTGCACAATTGGTAACATTACCATACGAGAAATACTGAAAAACTTGTAAATCTGAAACAAGGTGAAAATGCTTTATGAAGCTAACTCTTGGTTCTTTTGACTATTAACAATTGGCAGGTGGTTTGAAGCACAATTCGTCAACAAGATTCTTAACTATCACTTAAATGCTTGCTTTCAGAGACACTTATGCATGTGTGTCCATATTTTAGAAGTGTCTTCAATTCTCATTGCTTTGTGACAGCCATGGCATAATGGAACATGATCTCCCATTGACCTCTGAATCCTTCAGTCTCCCTCCCAAGCATTAACTTTGGCTGCACCCCTTTCTCAGTTCACCATGGGGCATCCATATGAAATATCTTCTGTTTTACTTTTGAATTCAGAAAAGGGGCAGCAGAAAAGGATCAATTGAGATTAAGAAAATCAGGTGTGTGGAAAAAGTGAATGTTGAAGATCAGACGCCTGTGGAGAGACAGTACCCATTTCAGGTAAAAGGAGGGACAACATTATGCTAGGTTGGATGATTCTTTAATATTTTCCTACCATTAACTCAGTATGCCTAAGTAAACAGGCAAAACATTGCAAAATGAGCCCTTGAGACAATGATTGCATTTGAACTGTTCCCAAAAGGGAGCTAGGCAGTTTGCCAAAACTCTGCCCACCAATTTGCCTCCCATGGAGGGAGGGGAAGCTACAGGGGTCTGATCAGCTTCAGGTTTAACCGGCTCTGTTATTAAACATTGAGTAATGTCTCTGTTGTGTCACAGAAAAGTAGGAAGCCATACAGAATTAAACACCAACCCTGCTCCAAGGCATCTCTATGGAGCTGGCAGAATAGGCCAATTAACAGACCATTGCAATACAGTGAGAGTGTTAAGATACATTGCGTGTCCTCCAGGAAGCAGGAGCTTCACTCCTTGCTCCTAGGTGTCAGGAAAATGTTCTGTTGGAGGTGACACTGAGGTTGGGAAGGACTAGTACAGTTTAACTTAGCAAACATGGAGGAGGCTGCAGGACAAAAGAAACTGCACGTGCCAAGACACTGATGGGAGAAATAAGAGCGAACAAAAGAGACAAGCCCACAGAGGCAGGGAGGGTTGGCTGTGAAGGAGTCTGCACATTATGTTAAGGAACTTTAATTTTACACCAGAGAATATTTTAAAAAATATTATTGAACTGCTTTACATTTCATACCACAGTTCTTAATCACATTTAGATCCCCTCTGCCATCCATGCCTCCAAACCCCTATTGGACCTTATGTATTCACTACACATGTTAAGTCCTATCCAGTCAAGCATTTGTACCCATATGTCCTTTGGTGGAAGTTCATTCACTGGAGCCTAGTCAGCCTTCTTAAAGATCTCTCTCTCTGTCTCTCTCTGTGTCTCTGTCTGTCTCTGTCTGTCTCTGTCTCTGTCTCTCTCTCTCTCTCTGTCTCTCTCTCTCTCTCTCTCTCTCTCTCTCTTTCTCTCTCAGCAGTAATCTAGTAATCTGTTGCTAATAGTTTCTAGGCTATGGTTGGGGCCTGCTGTCCATTTCCCTCATTCTATGCTGGGTTTTTGTCTGATCTAATGGGCATGGGTCTTGTGCATGCTGTCACCATTACTGCGAGTTCAGTGGAAAAGATTTATTTTTGACAGCATAAAAGTTTGCTGGTGCACTGGACATGGTGGTGCATGCCTTTGATCCTAGCACTTGGGAGGCTGAGGCAGGCAGATCTCCGTGAGTTCAAGGCCAGCCTGGTCTACATAGTGAGTTCCAGGACAACTGGGGCTACAGGGAGGCCCTGTCTCAAAAAGACCAAAAAAAAAAAAAAAAAAAAAAAGTAAAAGAAAAAAAAGTTTGCTGGCACATCAGACTGAGCTATGAGATGTTTGTATCAAAATATATTATTTTTTCTTCCTTTCCAGATTGTATATAAAGATGGGCTTCTCTATGTCTATGCATCAAATGAAGAGAGCCGAAGTCAGTGGTTGAAAGCATTACAGAAAGGTAACAAGATGTCATCAAAAAGAGTCATGGATTGAATTGTAGGCTTGATTCAAGAAAGATACAGTACAGAAAAAGACCTAAAGCCAAATAGAATCTCTTTATTTTCTTACCAAGCTCAGGCCACATATTAAATTCATGCTTGGTCTGTGTTCTCATTGTTACAAACAGGAAGCCCAGGGATCAAGAACAAGAAGCCCAGGGATCACATTCCTTTCCCCATTCAGCACAAAACTGGCTATTGTGTCTTCTCTGCAGCTCTAAGGAAACCAGGCCACCTGTGCCCCACTCACGTGCTTGGCTCTACCATGGGGTGGACTCAAGTCCATAGCACCATACTTCTGATATTCATAGAGAACTATAGCTGATACTAAGCACTTACCATTTGCTATTTCATCAAGTACTTGTAAAGCATCTTGCTAGATAATCCTGCTGATAACTCTATGGAAAGAGGTAACATTATTCTTCATTTTTCAGACTTTTTTTAATTTTTTAGTTTTGATTTTTAAATTTATTTTTATCTTTTTATGGTATGAGTTTTTCCCCATATGTAAATGTAGCATGTACATGCAATGCCTGTGGAGGCCAGAAGAGGGCGTCAGATCCCCTGGAACTGGAGCACCATGGGGTACTGGGAACTGAACCCAGGTCCTCTGTAATAGCAGCCAGTGCTCTTAATTGCTGAGCCATCCTTTCAGGCCCCCAGAAAAAAAAAAAATTAAAGACAGGTAAATGCCACAAACCTGGTTAATGGAAGTGTCAAAACTCAATTACCAGAACCCAACTTTTCAAATGAGTATATTGGTAAGAATTAGGCAAATCTGTGGAGTTAATGAAGATTTTATTCAGTGATTTTTTTTTTTTTTAGGTTGCCGTGGTAAGAACCCTTGGTAGAAGGAAAAGAATTATCGTTATTAATTTGGTACTGTGATGTGTCTCTCTGCAATATTTTTATTTTAAAAGTGGGTGATAATGTAAGGAAAATACGTAATTCATACCAGTGGCTCTAGAGAGGCAGTTTCAGGTATTAACATACTAGAAAGACAGAAATTTTGTTTTTACTTTAAGTCGTAGAGTACTGCTATATCTCACCACCCTTCAAATTGCACATAACCTACTCCACATGGATGCAAATACATCCTTTTCCATACGTAGGTCTTCATTTTCCCTTTACGTGACAGGGAACTTATTTTGTAGGATACTGAGGTGATCCATTAGGGAGAGAACATTTCCTCTCTACCCAGCACCATTTCAATGAAGTGAGAAGGGCATCTCTGCCAGTCAAGCAAGCCTGTTTGTTGTGTCATCTAAAAACCATCTAACACATCTGAGTCTCAGTTTTCTGACCTGTAAAATGGGGAGCATTATTTCCTTTTCTCCTATAGCCATGCATGAGTGATACACACACACACACACACACACACACACACACACACACACACATATATATGAATATTCACTAAAGGGAGCTAAGCAGTTTGCCAAAACTCTGCCCACTAATTTGCTTCCCATGGAGGGAGGGGAGGCTACAGGGGTCTGACTAGCTTGAGGTTTGACCGTTTCTTTTATTGAACATTGGGTAATGTCTCTGTTGTGTCACAAAAAAAGTAGGAAGCCATACAGAATTAAACACCAACCCTGCTCCACCATGGAGCTGACAGAAGAGGCCAATTAACAGACCATTGCAGCACAGTGAGAGTGTTAAGATGGAGGTTAGCACGGTCCATTGCATGTCCTCCAGGAAGTGTGTGTGTGTGTATATATATATAAAAATATATATATATATATATATATAAACCATACATATAGTGGTTATAATGGGACTTTCAGAAGGAGCTTTAAGGTTTTAGTTACCATTCAGTCATTTGGGGAGGAATATCCTAGGATTTAGATGCTATGTAGACAGTTCCTATATGCAACATTTTTTAGGCCCTGTGTTTCCATTTGTAGGTCCCTTTGGAATTATTCATGCTGTACCGGGTTTAGGGAGAGGGGTAACACATGTGAGGGCATATGGAATAGAAAAGGGGAAAAAAGGGAGGAGCAAAACACATCTCTTGGTCCCTCACAAAACAATAGTTTTCATTCCTAGGGCTGCCGTATGCATGGTGAATAATATGTATCTGGAGCAATCCTCTGTACTAGAGATAAAAAGACAGCAAGCAGTTGCTAAAACAAATCCATTTTATTCTCTGTCCCATGGGGAGTGAGAGGTAAACAGTTCAGGGATAGTGCAGTCATTTGAGGAAGATCAGTGGGGACACAGGCCCCTTCTGACTTTCTGTTTTGCCACCTTCGCTGGGTACTGTAGGTGTTCTGAGCTTTCCCAGAAGCCCCCGTCTGAAACTTTTTGTTCATGTCACATCTTCCAGAACTATGGCTTTTGTCCATCTCTGTGTGCAATGGAAGTTGGAAAACACCATCATTTTTCCCCCAAACTCTGTGCTAGAAGGTAGGGAAAGGAAGCAGGCAAGATGGTCTTCAAGTTGGCAAAGTAACCTGCTCTAGAAAAATAAAGGTTATCTCACTTAAATCTTTCCTCTTCAGTGTTTCACCTCCCTCATTTTCAAGTTTATTATTTTTCAAAAGAATTATAAACTGAGGTAGACATTGGAAGTAAGAACTTTCCAGGTGGTAAGCTGTGCTTCCAAGGTTTGGACTGATTCAATGGGTGACTTAAGGCATGTCACTTGGCACAGTTCGGAACTCACTTAACCAGGTGTAGATACATCTTTCCTTCCTATTTAAACTGAGATGGGTTTGGCAGAGAAGTTAGCATCTGTGTAAGATTTAGAAAGACAGAAAAAGAATAAAGCCAGACCTTTAGCAGACTGAACAGAGGACTTGTTCAGTGAAGGTGACACAGCTTCTCCTCCTCCAACAAGCAATCTGTGCAAAGGTGGGAGGGATTAAGGTGAATTTCATATTACTGGAAACAAAGAAGGCACACACAGCTGTGAAGTCCGGCTTGGAGTGTCCTTGGGCCCTTTTCCTAGAGTTGCAGAACAAAGTTGTTTAGCTCTGCTGTGGCTAGTTGATTGGCTAGCTGATAACAGGGTCGAAAGGACAGCAAAGTGACATCCTGGCCAAAGAAGTGGGTTGTCTGGCCTACTGCAGCTGTGGCATTCTATCAGGCCTGAGACAGACATGTGGCTAACTTTTAACAGGCTAGGGCAAGACACTTACTCGGGGAACTTCTGGTTTCTATCTACCTGTGCATCAGAATGTTTAGAAAAAGTCTCAGACTGAATCTCAGGTTGGCTAGATACTAGACCTAGGAACTTGAGCGACTTACACTATCTCAGTATACTTAATTCTGTGAGCCATGAGAGCAATCACAGTCAGTCCTCGGGACTGGTGGGTAATGCATGTGAGGGAATATCCATAATATACAAGTTTCCTTTAGTGTGGACATTAAGTACTGGGAATGTTGCAATGTGGACTCTGGGACTTGGAGAATTAGTTACCCAGGAACTAAGTCTTTGCAGTTAGAAACATTAGTGATCTTGACATATGGAGACAAAGAGCAGAGGCAACAAGAAAGCATACAATGTAATCAAGGAAGTCCAATGGTCATTTAAGCTAAAACCAGAAATTTGCATTCTTAATTCTTAATTCATTCGGATTTTGTGATTTGTGTAACAATTTCTCTTTGATGCTCACTAGCAAAGTTTTTTTTTAATGCCAGCATTTTTGTTCTCCCTCTGTCTCTCTCTGTTTCTCGCGCGCGCACGCATGTGTGTGTGTGTGTGTGTGTGTGTGTGTGTGTGTGTGTGTTGGAGAGGGCCTCATTGTGTTGCTCTATCTGGTCTGCCTCTGCCTCTGCCTCCTGAGTGCTTGGATTAAAGGCATGTACCACCAAGCCCAACTTGATACCAGCATTTGCAACTAAACTGAGTTGAGTTGTGCCTAATAAATGTCATTGCTGAAGTCCAGTATTCACTGAATAAACATTTGAGGCCAAAGATTTACATATAGTATTTTACATAGCCCCAGTAATCCAACAAAATAGTGTTATTCCTTGAGTTGAGGTCATAAAGGAGGAACAGGACTCTCCTAGAATCAAAGTCAGGAATCCTCTAAATAGACACAAAACCAAGAGGTAAGAGTCGAAGTCAAACAGAGAACCAGCCTTCCCCACAGAGAGATATTTCTTAAACTATTCTCTGTTAAGAACTTGGAGGATTCTCTGCTGTATTTCAAAAGATGGATGCACACTAAAGGACATTTGGGGACATAACCTTGGCTTGATAGGCTTTAACATATATGACAGAGTACATGAAATTCGGAGGAGGGGCTGTAAGAGGGGTGCAGGTAAGAGACAGTATACAAATGTGATCAAAATATATTGTATGAAATTCACAAAAACAATAAAAATTTTTAAAGAGAATAATTTGTTTTAGGCACATCATTTCTCTCCAAGATCAGAATTTAATTTGTTTAGATTAAAAGTTACTGTATTGTCATTGTTTGTTTTTTTTCTAGCAATGGAAATAGAGATCAGGACTCGGGGCTTCCTAGGCAGGTGCTTTACCTCTGAGCTATACTTTGAGCTGCTCTATGGTTCTTTTCTAGTGTAGAAGTTTTCCTAGAAAAGTAACCTCTACCCTAGGGGAAGTAGTGTATGCCTGTAGTCCCAACATAGGGAGGTAGAGGCAGAAGGATCAGGAGTTCAAGGCTAATAAGATACTGTCTCAAAAAAAAAAAGAACAAGGGGTTAGAGAGATGACTCGGCAGTTAAGAGCACTGACTGCTCTTGCAGAGGACCTGGGTTGCATTCCCAGTACTCACGTGGCACCTAAAACCTATATTCAGTCCTTAGTGTCAGCACGTCAAAGTCATGAAAGACAAAGAGAAGATGAGAAGCTATTCTAGGTCAAGGTCAGCTGGACAGCTATATAATGAAGTTCCATACATAATTCTGGTTAGATCTTTGACCAGAAAGAATTAATTGGAATGATGAGAAAAATCAAATATTAAATGTATTTGTTAATCATATTGGATCAGTATTCAATTCTCTGAATTTGATAATTTGCACTGTAATTAGATAAGAGAATACCCTTGGTGATACAAGTTACATGGTGAAATATTTATTGGAGACATTATGTTCTGATATTCACTTTAAATTACTAAGAGAAAACTAATGATAAGAAATTTTAAACAATACTAGTATGTATAATAGAGAGAAATAAGAAGCAAAATGCTATAATCAGCCATTGATGGATCTACATAAAGGATGTAAGGAGGATATATTATAATATTTTTATTGTACATTTGAAACTTTTCAAAATAAAAACTAGTAGAAAGTACATGCTATTAGAAATACTCTTTTTACTAAGATATAGTTCTATCAACCAGCCTACATCTGCCACAAAAAAAATGTGCTGTAACCCATTCATGACCTTTAGTGGCAAAAATCTTAATGGCAAGCTGACAAGTGTATGCATTTTTATGAATTCTCTAATGTCAGACTGACATGTCATTATGTTGTGATTAGGATTTCCGTTTTTCTTTTTGGTTTATTAACTTCTGAGTGAAAGACATATCCTTTGGGGGACATTAACCCTTACTTTGTTGCTGGCAAAATAGGTTTTCATTGTTCTGAGATGACTATTTATTGACTATGTTCCTTTTTCGGGGCCAATACCTACTCATGCTTTCTTTCCTTCCTGCCTGCTCCTCAGAGATAAGGGGCAACCCCCACCTGCTGATCAAGTACCACAGTGGGTTCTTTGTGGATGGGAAGTTCCTGTGCTGCCAGCAGAGCTGCAAAGCGGCCCCAGGATGTACCCTCTGGGAACCATGTACGTGTGACCCTTTGTTGGACTGAACCCTGGGTGGACGGGAACCCCATTAAGGCAAACCTGCCCAATGCCAGATCAGGTTTCCAGGAAATAGGATGTGCCATATTTATTGGTGTCATAACAATCTGGCTTTATGGATGCTACATTGAAAATAGTCGATTTCTAATGTCAATTGTATTTTGTTACCTAAAATAACAATATTAATATATGCCTTTCATTTCATGTGAACAGTTTTTAAAATTGAAAATATGCATCAAGTAAGAACCCACTAATCTGTCCTATAATTCTTTCTAGTTTAAGACAAACTCCTTAGAGGTAGAATGCCATGAACATATCGCCATGGATCAAACAACTAGTTTTCCCACTTAATAAGAAACTTAAAGGAAAGCACATCTATAATCCCAGTACTTAGGAGGTTGAGGCAGAAGGACCATAGTTTGAGACTGGACTGAACTACATAGAATATTTAAGATTAACCTTCATACTGAGACCCTTTATCACAAAATAATAACAATAACAACCTGGGCTCAGTGGTTAAAAGCATTGGCTGTTCTTGCAAGAGGACCTGGGTTTGATTCCCAGCACCCACATGGTGGCTAACAACCATCCATAACTCCAGTTCCAGGAGATCTGACACCCTTTTCTGACCTCCACGGGCATTGCATGACACAGGTGCACTTACATACATGCAGGCAATACACTCATACACATACAATAAAATGAAAATAACAAAATAATTAAAAAATTAACCAACAACAAAAACCCCAGCTCTCTCTTCTTACTAAAAATAAAAAACATGAAGCAATTCCACACTTTTCATAAATGACAGTTTTAATTATCATATATACCAAAATGATGATGTTTATCATTAAAAGATTTATTTACAATGATTTGCCATTCTGTAAAGGCACGCTAATTTTTAATAACATCAAAGAAGGTAAAAATGATTTGTTTTAAATGCAATATCCTTGATTTTGTTCTAAGCAGGGCTCATTTTGGTAACAATTTTACTGGTCTCGATTAAAATGGCCTTAAGGAATCAGATGAGATCAGCTACATGATAGCATATCATGAACCAGAAAACATGCAGATATGGGAAATATTCGAACTCAGTCTGTAACAGTTTTAATAACTAAAACTCATATACTACTGTTAATTTTAGAAAAAAATAAAGTCGATGAATAAATATTGTTTCCCATGTCAGTTAAATCACAAAATAAGTATTTATCAATCTCAATTATGTAACATTGCCCTCTGTACTCATGAATTATAATGATTTAATGAACTATGTGTAATTAATGTGACATGAGGTCTTCTTCCACTGTGATGGGCTGAGGAGAATTCTTTGTTCATAGTAGTAACTGTTGTTCTCAATGGGTCTGTCTATGGCCTGGGATTATTATAGAGTCAGATTATGACTCTGATGCCCTAATTCCTGAGAAGGAGAAGGGGAAATGCCAAAGACTGACTTAGAATCAAGTGTCTTGTCTCCATCTTTATGGCACTAATCTATGTCCATTTGTGGGACCGTGAGGATCACTGCAGAACACAGATGTATTGCAGCTCGTGAGAAGCTGGGATATTGTCTATCTGCCCAAGTATAACTTTTTCTCCTGCCTTGTTCTTCTGAACTGCTGGGAAAACCATGAGTATAGGTGTTAGGAACCCCTATGCCTTCTTTCTATTTCCAACCATCCCCAAATCACCTTATTTTACAGGATATATGATCTACCAATAGATTTCCATATATCCCAGATTGCTTTGGAATGTTTGAAACATTCTCATTTTGTTCCTGAAAATCTGGCATAATTATTAAAACTGTACAATCTCACTGATAAAATGTTCCAGTTTGGGCAATAAACCATAGGGTCACCCTGCTGATAAGACATGTAGCAACTTCTTGAAGTTTGGACATCTATTTACACATGAATGTGGAAAAAGAAATCAGAAATTTCTACAAAAAAAGAGAAAGCATCTGTTAGGTTTGTTTCTGTAGCCATCAGCTATTTGTTGAACTTTAATAGTTGTTGAAATATGCTGTATGCACCAATCAAAGAAGAATCATACGTGGATAGTGACCCATATGATCATTTGAACTATGCAGTGAGATTCTATATCTGAGACTCAAATACAAGATGGAAATGAGATGTAAAGTCCTTATAAGATTTAGAGGAACTTGAATGCTCAGGCATTGCAATATAGCAATAATTGATAGAGGAAGAGTGGTATTTGAGTTGAGAATCATACAAGAACGCTACAGAATCACTCCAGATGATAAGTCTGAATTCAGTTAATCTGGAGTATTGTTCATGTAAAGTAAATCATTCTTTTCATTTCTAATGTTAGGTGTTTTCCTTTGTTCTATTTGATTTTACTTTCCAGATGCTGATCTGCACACTGCAGTTGGTGATGAGAAACACAGAGTTCCTGCTTTCTCAGACAGGGTGGTAAGTCAGTCTTTTATTAATTTGTTAAATTAACATACAAAGGAATGAATTTTATCATGACATTTTTGTACATATGTATCATTCTATTTTGTTCTGATCCATCCTCTCCCCACACCTCTCTCCACACTGCCCTCCTCTCTGGTTCCCTTCCCCCAAACAGTTCCCCCTGCTGTTTTCATGTCCCATGTATTTCATTATCCTCTCATCTTTCACTTAAGATGTCTTCCTCCCTCATTTTCTAGTTCTACTTCTTCTCTTTCTGGTTTTAAGAACTCACACACGCAAACACACACATATATGTATATATGTATGTATATATATATATAAAATCTTTAAATCTAGGATCTGCATATGACAGAAAACATGCAGAGTTTGTCTTTCTGAGTCTGACTTATTTTACCTAAAATAATGATTTCCAGTTCCCATCTATTTTCCTGAAGATGTCATGCTTTCATTTTTTCTTTACAGTTGTGTAAAACTCCATTGTGTATATGTATCACAGTATCACATTTTCTTTACATTCACCTGTTGATGGATACCTACATTTATTACATTTCCTTCCTATTATGAATACTGCAACAATAAACATGAGTGTGCACGTATTTCTGTGATGTGTTGGTAAGTCAGTAGTTTCAAAAATAATTTTTCTGTAATTGGGATATAGTAAATAAACCAAGAGTTGCCAGATTCCAGAATACCCACCTTATTCCAAGTTACTATCTCTTTCCTTCACCTACCTTGATGCTGCGTCTACTGGCAGCCTGTGTTGGGGCAAGGATTGTGGAAAGACTGGGCCTTCTAACACATCGGGGATTAATCAAAGGAGAAAGGATATAATATAAAAGAGGCATTCTTTTATATATTTTTATTGAACTTTTGTATATTTCATACACAACATCTTAAATCATCTTTATACCCCCTTCCCCATCAGCACCTTCTTATAGCCCCCCACTGGATTTTATGTATTCTGTCTTTCATGTTAAGGTATCAAGCCAAGTTATTGTCCCCAGACGTCCCTCAAAAGAGACATTCTTACATAGCTGTTGCTATCATGATTTGGTAGTGATGTCATCTGCATGAGTTTCCTAATGCTTCTTTATCTTATGAGCTTATGAAAGAATTCTGTGAGTTTTCTGCTGAGGGGGCAGATATCAATGGAATTCTATATGACAGGAAAGATGTCTTGTTACTCAAGTCTTAAATGTCCAACTTTCAAGCCTTCCATTGGGTCTTCCCTCCCATATTGGACAGGATTCCCTTGAAGATGGTTTTCAGCCAACTCTTTCCAAAGGTTGAAATCTTTGTATAGGAAAAGAAATAAAAGTTTGAAAGCTATGAACCATTAAAATATACGCAGCTTGCATTCTCTCTCTCTCGCTCGCTTTCTATTTCCTCTTCCCCTTCTTCCTTCTTTTCTTCTCCTCTTCCTTTTTCTTCTTCTTCCTGTCCCCCCTCCCCCCTCCTCTTCCTCTGACGTTTCCCTCCTCCTTCTTCTTCTAACCACAACCTCCCACTTTTAGGATTCCTGGACAGATGACAGCCTCCTCACATGCTAGGATGTTAGGATATACTTCAAGAGGCTTCCACATTGTTCTCAAGAAAGTCATCTGAAAATACACAAGGTCTATGGTGTCCTTTAAGTAGTGATTTTCTTTCTCTTTCTAAGTAAAACCTGCATTTTTTTCTGAACAAAAATAATTCATTTTATAGTAGGTTGAGTAGCATCTCCCAATTTTATGTCCATATAGAACTTCAAAATGTGACATTATTTGGGAATATTTGTAACTCATAGATAAAGGTCAAGACGAGTTCATTCAGGATGAGAGTGGGCCATAAGTTTGAAGAGAGATACCCTTCTAAGATGAGAGTACATAGGGAGAAGCACAAAGGACAGGGTTCTGTAAAGAACTAGGCAGAAAGCTAGACATGATAGCGCATGCCTTTAATCCCATCACTCAGGAGGCAGAGACAGGAGAATCTCTTGCGTTTGGAGGTCAGCCTGGTTCACATAGTGAGTTCCAGGCTAGCTAGGGCTAGATAGTGAGACTCTGTCTCAAACAAACAATCAAAAAAGACCCAGGCAGAGACCAGAATTATGATACCACAAGTCAAGGAACATGCAGAACCACCAAGCTAGAGGAGGCCAAAGACATGTTTCCCTAAAGCCTTCAGAGAGACCATGGCCAGACTGAAATTTCGATTCAGGACTCTGGCCTCCACAGCTGTAAAAGGAGATTTCTGTTATCTTAACCCACCAAATGTGTGATAATATGTTATGACAATCCTACAAAATTGTTAAGATGGTTTAGAGTTTTTACTTTTTGTCCAGAAACATTGCTGTTTGAGTTTGGGTACTTGCTGCATTCCTGAATCTTAAAACTTACAGGCCTTGGGCTGATGATGTAGTTCTGTAGTAGAGTACCCATTAGCATGCACAGAGCCTGAGTTCATCCATTAGCAAAAAGATCAAAACTGTGACCTAACAACAATGTCTAGAATAAACAAAATTACAAAGACAAATGACCAGTTAGTATTGCCTGAGACCAGAGTAGTAGAGGAGATTGCAGAAGAACAGGAGGGATTTTACAGAAGTGATAGAAAGATGCTAAGGCTTGATTATAAAGAGGCATATAAAACTGGATACATTTGCTAACCGTTACTAAATTCTATAGCTAAAAAACATGAATTACCACTAGAGTTTATTTTAAACAAATCTAAGAGCAGAGGATAAATTAGAATCCACCAAATCTCATTTCTTACAAGGAATTGTTTAAGAAGTATGTTTCAAATCATCAAGTAAGGGGCTGGAGAGATGGCTCAGCGGTTACACTTGCTGTTCTTCTGGAAGTCCCAGGTTTGATTCCCAGCACCCACATGGCATCTAAAAACTATCCATAACTCCAGTTACAGGGGATCTGAAGCCCTCTTCTGGCCTCTGTAGTCTTTGAATGACATGGGTGCACTTACGTACATGCAGGCAATACACTTATACATATCAAATAAAAATAAATACAAAATTTTAAAAAATCATCAGGTAAATGAATGGTCAAGGGTTCTAAGACCTTTTACTAAAAATATTTTTATTTACACTTTTGGAATTTCACACATATATACAATATACTTTTATTATATTCACTAACTACTCTCCCCCTCTAATTTCTTCTGGATCCTTCTCCCATCATATCCCTGGCTTCATGTCTTCTTTTTTTTTATAACCCACAAAGTTCAATTTGTGTTACTTGTGTACTCATGGGTATGGTGCCATCCACAGGAGTGTGGTAGACCACCCAGAAGACAACCCCCTGAAGAAAACTGATCCTCTTTCCCTCAGGATCCATCAATTGTCAATAGCTCCTGAGATGGGGGTGGAGCCTCATGAGGCCCTCCTCCCTCAAGAATGTTTATTGGATTTAGCTAGAATGTTAATTGGCCTGATCTTGTGCAGACCTTGTACAGGCAACCACAGCTGCTGTGAGCTCACAAGTGCAGCAGTCCTGTCATGTCTGGAAGACATGTTCTGTAGCAGTTCACCCCATCCTCTAGCTTTTAAAATCTTGCTGCCCACTCTTTTCAATGTTCACTGAGTCCAATAATGGTTGTGAGCATAAGCTGCTTACATGAACTGGAGATCAAAGAGAGTGCCATGTGTGCTTGTACATTTTAGCATCTGAAGGTGGCCATATTTGATGATTCAGCCATAAGGGTTGCAGCTTCTCTGCTGTCTGCCTCTGATACATTGTCATATCTCTTCCTTAATCCCTGACCCATCTAAAGGACACTTTTGACTGCACTAGGCTCATCTCTATACCTCAGTATAATTTCTGCATCTCAAATCCCTTAACCACAATCTGCAAAGTCCCTTTTACCATGGAAGTTATTCACAGGTTCTTGCAAGTTAGGACATGAACGTTTGAGAAAGCAATTTCTCAGCCTACTGTAGCTACCATGTGTTTTCTATTTATCATGTTGATAACCATTTTGGTGCTGTAGATATTGTTTTACACAGCTTTGGGTTTCACTGTTGGATATATATGCATAAAATTATTACTGAGCTATAAGGTATATGCACCCGATTTTTGCACATTCTGCCAGTGAGTTTCTAAATAACAAAAGCATGAGTTCTAGTTGTTCTACATCCTTGGCATTGTTTCCCTCCCTCCTTCCCTGGTTCCCTTTCTCCTTCCTTCCTTGCTTCTATTCTCTCTCTTTTCTCTTCTACGGTCCCTCTTTTGTAGGAACTGTTATACTATGGTTGTTTATTCCCAATTCAGAAATAAGTGCCTTATTATTATATGTTGACTCTCTTATGTTCCAAAGCTGAAGATTCCTCGAGCCGTTCCTATTCTCAAAATGGATACACCATCTTCAAGTACTACTCTACCCCAATATGACACTGATACAAAGAAAAGCTATGGTTCCCAGCCAACCATCAATATGCGGTATATTCCAAGGGAAGACTGCCCTGACTGGTGGCAAATAAGAAAACTGAAAAGGTAAACCTAAGCATTTAAGATAACTGCCCAACATATAGAATAGACATGGCTTCACTGCCTTGGACATCACCCTCAAAGCTGGTAGTACAGGCCTTAGATGAACTAGGGTGGTCTTCTCAGAAAATGTTTGGTGCTCAAACTAGAAGAGTGGGGAAGCAAGTGGCAATTCTGGAGTTGAGCAGCATAGACTTTGTATTTCAATTATCCTATCTAATGTGCCAAATAATAACTTCAGCATTTTATACCTTCCCCTTCTTGTTCTAACTTCCCCCAAATAATAAAACACAGTATCTATTGACTGTCTCCTTTATATAAAATAGTTTGGAGGGAGCTTACTTGTTTAGTCTTTTCAATTTTTTTCAATCTAATGAGTCTATATAAGACGAGGCTCAAATGTGGTACATGGTGTGTATAAATCTCTAGGGTCTGGCACATACATCATGGTCAGTAAATGTTTTTTAACTATTTATTTTATTATTTATGTGTATGTATGTGCCTGTGTGTGTGTGTATGTGTGAGCATGTTTGCCACATGTGTGAGGATGTCCATGTAGGCAGATAGGATCTGGTAATCCATAAGATTTTAGCTGTGCAACACCCCCATGAAAATCAATATTTCCTCCTCATTATTTGAAAGTTGGTTATTTATTTTCACCACACACAGGCAATTGTGAGCCACCAGACGTGGGTGCTGGGAACCGAACTCAGGTCTTCTGGAGGAGCAGCAAGTACTCTTAACTGATGAGCCATGTCTCCAGTCCCATTAGTAAGTGTTTAATTGAATGGCAACAACGTCATGGAGGAAGGTTCAAGTGTTTTCCCTTCCTTATTTGCTGCCTCAGACTTCACCTGAGCACATCGTCCATTGGCATTCTCAGCCAGTTTTCAGCCACCCTGCAGAGTGTGTTCGGATGTCTGTCTTTCCCATGGTGGATGCAGAGCATCACTTTGATACTTCATTGATATCCTTTCTTTGTTTCTTCTCTTGACCTCTTATTCCTTGACTCTTTCCATCTTCATTATCTAAAGCAAATGCCTTACTGTACCAGTGATGCAGCCACAGGAGAACGTGGAACCTGAAAAGAAGTAAGTGTATCCTTCCCGATTGACTGTCTTTAAATATAATAAATTTGGACCTTTTCTTTTTTCCATTGAATAATTATTTAATAAATATTTACTATACAAAGAGGAATAGCTTAGAAGGAGGATATAGGAAAGGAAATAGCAATGACAACATAGTATTAAAATATGAGTGACATTTGATAGATGAACACGGGAAAAGTTTCTTACTCCTTTTCATTCTAAAGTGTGGTTGGTGTCCCAATGATTGATTCCCTACCTGACTGCTGAGGGAAGGCGTTACATTCATTTGCCTGTGGCCTAGCACCTTTCTCAAAGGGCACATCAATAAGGTCAGATCTGGGCTGGTAAGGTACTTACTGTCAAGCCTGACCACATGAGTTTGATCTCTGAAGACCTGAGTTTGATCCTCAAATCCCGCATGGTGGTAGAAGAGAATTAATTCCTTTGTTTCAAGTTGTCCTCTGACTTCCACATGTGGACACACACACACACACACACACACACACACACACACACACACACACGCGCGCCCAGATCCAGGGAAACTGGGCATCATGGTAACTTGGTGCTCAGCTGCCCTTCCCTCCCTGAGTGAAAGCCCAGTGATTCGCTAAAAGAAGTGTGTTGTAAAAATAATCAATCTTCAAATAATGAGGAGGAAATATTGATTCTCATGGGGGCATTGCACAGCTAAAATCTCATGGATTGCCAAATCCTATCTTTATTTGAAATGCTGACATTTGTGCATCAAGGGTTTTTTTTTTTCATTGATAAAAATTTTAAAGATATTTTGTTAAGGAACTGTTAATCTGAATTACTGAGTTTTTGACACGTTTAGATTTTGTGGCCCCTCAGATTTAGTCTAACACTGAGTTTTGCTCTGGAAGTTTGGAACATGCGTTGTTTGTCCAAATGACTGAACACTCAGTTCTTTGCATAACATAAGCAACATTGCCTGTGTGAGTGAATAATGTTAATAATAACTACTGAAAAAGTCTTCATGGAGCTTGAACTTGAGAAGCTCTGCCACACTTCTTAGCTTATGTACAGTGGGAGGTTTCTAGCACTTTCTGTCATTCTTACTATCTTCACCTGAGTTGCTTTTAATCTTGATTTTTCTGAATAGTAAAATAATTCATGTTCTCACTTAAAGCACTCAAATACTGCAGAATACTTAGTGCACATTCCTCTCAAAGGCTTTCTGTGCGTGTGCTACATACCATATATTAATTATAATTATAAAAGCAGATTCTCCCCGCAGGCTTTCTGGCCTTGCTCTTTTCACATGATGTTATTGACATTTTCCCCAGATACACCTGATTTAAATCTTTTAATTTTGATTATACTAAAATACACATAAAATAAAATTTACATTTTTTGAAACAATATCCCAAGCTGGCCTTGAACTCCTTATCTAGCCACGAATGACCTTAAATCCCTGATCCTCCTGCCTTGATCTCCAGAGTACTGAGATTACAGACTTGTGTCACCACAGTCATTTCTAAGTAGTGTTAAGGACATTCACATTGTTGCATAACCTACCTGATTTTTTTTTGTTTGATTTTTGTGTGTCTTGTTTGTTTTCTTTTGGTTTTGTTGTGTAACAGGGTCTTTGTAGTACAGGCTGGCCTAGAATCCCTATGTAGACCAGGCTGACCTCAAAATAATGGCAATCCTCCTGCCTCAGTCTCCCAATTGCTGGAATTACCCACATGGTCTACTATGCCCAGCTACTGGTTCTTTTCAATGTCTACAAAGTATTTCATTATATGGTAAATTTAAGCAATGCACTATTGATAGCCATTCTGCATGAGCTGTTAAAAACAACAAGGCTAGAGCAGATAAGATGATTCAGAAGATAAAGGCACTTGCTGCCAAGCCTGATGAATTCAATCCGCAGGACCCACATGGTAGAAGGAGAGAATTGAGTCCCTAGAAGTTGTCCTCTGAATTTCACATGTGTGCGGTGTGGCACAGGCACCCACCTACCTAAACACAAACACACACACACACACACACACACACACACACACACACACAGAGAGAGAGAGAGACAGAGAGAGAGAGAGAGAGAGAGAGAGAGAGAGAGAGAGAGAGAGAGAGAGAGAGAGAGAGAGAGAGAGAGAGAGAGAGAGAGAGAGAGAGAGAGAGAGAGAGAGAGAGAGAGAGAGACAGAGGTACACACTAAATAAATGTAAAAAAAAAAGAAAACAACACTAAATGTGCTTTGCTTTTTAAAATAAGAGTTTCTTATGAAGGGAGGAAGGCAAAAGCCTATTCTTGTGGGCAAAGCTTGTAGAGCAGGGAGGGAGGGAAGCTTTTTAGCATTTGACGGCTTTCTCTAGGCCTTTCTTGAAACAGAGCCAGAGAACCTTGACTTGCCAAGGGAGATTGTTCCTGTGACTGTGCTTTTGAAAAAGAGACTGGGCTATGAAGGCAAACAGGAAATGGGCTCTAAATTCCAGATAAAACAGCCTTTGGACTTTGGGAGGAGATAGGCAATTCTTCATGTTCTTAACACCCAAAATGGGAGCTGTAAAAATGATGGGTGGGAAAGGATTATGCAAATCATATTGAACCATCTGTGTCCGGATGGAGTTAAAAGCTCAAGATTTTCAGCGCTAATCACAACAAAGAAGAAAATAACGTATTTCAAAGTGTGTAAGTGACAGAAGGTTTGCATATCTACAAGGAAAGCAGAGCAAATCTACCCAGGATGATTTACTAACCTAGGTTTCACACTATTGGGGGTGGGCATTATGTCATTATTAGCAATTCTCTTGCTTAGGAATATTACTAGAGTCCCTGAAAGGAGCAAAATGTAAAATTAATTCATTAACTAAAATCTCCAAGCCAACTGCAAAGTGTGGGAGTAAAAGTCAAATAGAGTTAAGACCTATCTGAAACCAATTGTTTTGTTATTTAACATTTCTAAATAAGCATACATTTATAAATGTATTGTCAAAGCAAAACACAACTGTCCGGGCTAAAGAGATGGCTCAGCAGTTAAGAGCACCTGTTACTTCCAGATGATCTGACTTCAATTTCCAGCAGTCATGTTGGGTGCTTCACAACTGCCTGTCATTCCAGCTCCTGGGGGATCTGAAGGTCCTGGCCTCCTGGAGCACCTGTACTCACTTGCATATACCAGCCCCCATTCACACACAAACACATACACACACACACACACACACACACACACACATATATATATATAATTAAAAATAAAAAGAAAATCTTTAAAAAGAACATAACTCTCATCTCAAAGAGTAAGAGATAGTTTACTCTGGAGCCAAATATGAGTGAACATGGGTTGGGAACATAGAGTTAGGCTACCCCAAATTTCATGTTCCAAACAGATAGCAATTTCATGATGTTTCTATAGAAACAGAACAAAGATGTTCATAACGCAATACACTTTCTAAATACACTGGTGGTGATGTCAGGTAGATGGGTTACAGGGAAGGGGGTGGGAGTGGGGGGAACCTCTGCTACAGACCTCAGATGCTATCTGATGATACTCTTAGATTTTGGGTTGGTGGAAGCTAGTGGTCTGCTAAGTTAATACGTTTCAAAAGATTTTACCTGAATGGTCACAAATATGTTAGATCAGATACAGAGGTGGGAAAGGAATAGCTAATAGAGCAGATAAAGACAACACAAGATAAATTTTAATTAGACTTTGGGTCTCTTACATTCCAAACTCTCCACAATCTTTGAAGTTCTAATCAGGCTTGCAAAAAAGTTTAGTGGAAAGTAAGCTTCTTTCCAGGAACTTCACAATATGAACCCTATGTCTTTATTTACAGTGAGGAAGATGCTTCATGCAGTAACCAAATGGAAAGAAATACTGTAAATCACAGCACCTCAAAGATATCATGGTAAATCAAATCCAGATATTATTGATACTCAGAATTGACTTCTGTTTGCAGGAAAACTAACCAAATTTGAGGTAATTTTGCAATGAGGCTTTACATGCAAGGTAAATATAATCCAAAAAATATCCATATAACTTGCCTCTCTGAACATTTAGGTGGATCTGAATTGGTTGTTTGTGGGTTAGTTTTTCTTATACAGACTATTCCGAGTCCTCACTCATGACATACTCTAGTGTTATAATATACTGTCTCAAGCATCTCTCACAAGAGAAAAAGCAACCTGGAGTAAATAGCTCTTCCCTAATTATAGCTCTGTATCAACATTTCAAACTTCATACTATAGCCATCTTTGAAGGAATCACCATGTGTTCCATGAGCCTGCTCTTTGAAAGAATCAAAACAATCTAAGTCCCTGTGCTGAAGCACCCTTCTCTTCTTGACCTGAGTATAAACTCAGATTTTGTCTGTTCACTTTGCTGATGTCTTTCCTAAGTGCGGAAAGGAAAACCTAACAGTCCTAATTCCATACATGTGGACAAAAGAAGAAAGAGCTTTGACGTTGTAGCACCAGGCGTTTGGATTGTTTCTTGGTCTTTTATTTATTATTCTTTTCTCAATTCTTCTTAAGGGGATTCCCTGAGTCAAGTTCATCGGAAGAAGAGGAAAATCTGGATGATTATGAGTGAGTGTTGAACATCCTCTGTGCTCCTCTAAAACTAGACGTAGATATTTCTAATTCTGTTCCTTGAAGGCATTAAACAGATGGCTCAGACACTCTCCACAGTCCATATTTGTGTGGGTAAACTCGTGTGAGGCTCCGGATCCTTTTTCTAGATGACAGGTGGCAATGTGCTGGGTTATTATCAATGAAGACATTTTCCCCAATCTGGACTATCTGAATCTGCCACATATATCCACTGGATTTAACACATGTTTGTTGTCTTCCTCATATTATAAATAGAGCACATGATGCTTCTGCTCTTGAAACCTTTCATCAGAAGACTCTTTAGAAGCTCTTATTGAACCAGATTTAGAGGGGGTGAATATTTATGGTGTGGTAACTTCACCAGGCAGCACACTGAGCTATTGAACATTAAGAACATTTTTGTTTATAGAGTACTATTCTTAGGATGACCATATTCCAAGTTGGGATCCCTTACAGAGAGACAAATTCCAGTAGATATTCGGCATAAACTGAATCATTCTGGGAAAATAAGAATGAATGCTCACCTTAATTGTACTTCCAGATTGGCCTAAGTGGCCATTAAGGTTCTTTCCAAAGTCCAGGGTTCTGCCAATGTATAAATATTGACATTATTATCCTCTCAACTTAAAGATTTTTTGTTTAAGAAAATTGAGAAAAAAAAATGAAATGCCTCCCATATTTAGTTACTCAATCCCACATGGGGGTCCCAACTGACATTTTAAGAAGCTGTGTTTAAAGCAACAGCAAACAGCATACACGAGTCCCATGAATGCTCAAACCACAAAAATAATCCAAGTATAGACATGAGGAAGTGGGTAAGAATCTCTAATCCCTCCGAAGGAAATAGTGGCAGCAGATGGCTGCTGAGTGGCGCAGAGAAAGTCTCTATGGGATTCTTGGTAGATTAAATAATCTCCAATGGATGGACCCACCCTGAAGGACATTTGGAGACACAAATTAGACTCTATAGGCTTTATTATATGTATACATATATATGTATGCATATATAGTAGAGTACATTAAATTGGTGGGGACAAATAACAGGTATGAAAATTGCAAGAATTCAATTGGAATGTAAAAAAGAAGCTGTGTTTATATTATCTAAATGGGCTTTTCATTAGCCATTATTAGCTTAAAATGTGAATCAGTAAGAAAACTATGACTATCTCAAGTGTGTTCATAAGGGTACAGTAAGAACAGGCTTTCAAACTTCTCAAGATCAATCCCTTCCCTAATTTTACAGCTAAGAGATATGTTCAAAGTCATACAACTATGTATTAGGTAGTTATTTCTAGAACTCAGACCTCCAAGCTGGCTGGTCTAAGAATCTTTCCACTTTATCAACTGTCCACTGGCTGATATTCCCTTCCTTGGTTAACACAGATACTATAAGGAATGCCACTTCCCATCCATTATGACCAAATTCCAAGAAACTTTCTGCTTTGCCTTTCTCTTCCAGCCCTTCATGTCCACCATCACCCTTCTTACGCACTGCTTTCCTCTGCAGGTGTTATCTTCTGGCCAGACGTTCCTTCTAATTCTGCAAACCTATGCTCCATTCCACCCCATACCCACTCATTTCCTTAATAGAACATTTTTGCCAAAGCCAGGGGGCCACAGCCATTTTTGATCTCACATAAGAAACAGTTCTTTGCCTGTTAAGCTCCATGCACAAGGAAGACATGATGTTCTTGGCTAATTTAATTAAAGGTTTTTTTTTTTTAATGAAGAAGAATTACACTTGGCTTTCCCACATATCTTTTTCTTTCAGTTCAGTACAGCTGTTCCTGTCCTGATATAATCTTTGATGCTTATCTCTTGCTGTCCAAAAGAAAATTCAAAAAAGCTTTGAAAATAGTTGATATAAGTTGTACATCTATCAGATTATTAAAATAAAGTGATGGGGTTGAAAAACAAGAGTGTTTATCCTTGGTCACCCTGACTTCCCTATTGGAATTTTCATTGTTCTAATCTTGGCTCATCACTCAAGGTAGTGAAATGTAGGATAACATAGAGGTCACCTAGAAGGACTCTCAGGGTTACTAAACAGCAGCCTATTTGCAAGTGAAGATATATAGGCCTCACTCCAGAAGCAGAAGTCAGGGGTGGGGAATCTAAGGATCTGTGTTTTTGAAAATACCTTCAGGAAATGCTGTAAGTAGTTGGGTTTGGAAATCCCCCATATAAGTCAGTGCCTCATTTTATAGATTAAAAAGTTACGTGACAAGTGATATAATTTAAAAATTATGAATTCTCAAATATAGAATTCCTTTGCAGCTGGTTTGCTGGTAACATCTCCAGGTCACAATCTGAGCAGTTACTCAGACAAAAGGTAAATAGTTGTTTCCTCCACTCACTTCAAAGCATCTTTTTGTATGTATATATACTAAGCTTGCACTCCTACCACTGAGCTACATCCTCAGCCCAAGAATGGCTGGGTTCAGGGGGTGAAGCAATTCCCAGAGATCATTATTACAAATGTTCCAGCTCATCTCAGTATTGTTTGTTCAGCCTTTAGGTTATCACATCCTTTTTCATTGCTGCATAATAAACCACTGGAAGCTGCAGGAGGTGCTCTAGTTGATGAGTAGCCTGCTATACCCTCACAGTGTGCTCAATGAATTTTCTTAAAAAATAAATAAACCACCCTTGAATTTCGTGGCTTGAAACATGATTTTGGTTTGCTCAGAGTTCTGTGAATCAGCTGATCCAGTTGCATGTTCTGCTGATGGGTGGCCTGGGTTTAGCTGAAGAGGTCAACTAGGGTGCCACAGTTTTTCCTCATGCAGCCTCTCCAAATGTCTGGTTTGGACCCTCCTCACAGAATAGAAAACACCAGAGTACTACCCCTGCGGCGCAAACACTCAGTGACTCTCTGCTTGTGCCACATTTGCTAATGTCCCATTCATTGGCCACAGCAAGTCACATGGTCCAGCCCAAAGCCTAGGAAGGAGGAGACAGGACAGAATCTTAAAGACGAGAGGTGATTTCATTTTGCAGTTCTGGGAATGGAACTCAGGGCCTAGCACATACTAGGCAGGCACTGTACTATTGAGTCAAAAATTTGTTACTGAGGGTCGTCAATATAGATGTTTTCCACAGCTGTTTTTCACTGCTCATTAACACCTAAACCAGAACACAGCAGATGTAGCAGGAAATTAATTTACCTGATTTTATTGCTAAATTTTAGTGCTAATTGGTATCAACTGACTTATACCTGTATTCTTTTGATCTATAAAAATGATATTTTGGTACGGTTTTGAGAGATACTGATAAGACTGTGATGAATTCACTTGGCATTTTGTTACATACATAATTTATTGAACTTTTTCTGAATCTGGATCTGGTTGGAATTGGCACAAGTCCTTTAAAAAAAAGACCAGTGGAGTGTAAAACATTAACAAGGTATTCATTCTTCATCTTTGATTCTCTAAAACATTTCAAGACTATATGGTGATTATATAGTTCCAAATTTTAGTTCTTTTTAAAATTTTTATTTATTATTTTTATTTTACATGTATGAGTGTATTGCCTGCATGTATATAAGTGCACTCATGTTGTGCAATGCCTGTAGAGGCCATAAGAGGGCGTTGGATCCCCTGGAACTGGAGATATAGACAATTGCTAGCCACCACGTAGGTGCTAGGAACCAAATCTGGGTCCTCTACAAAAGCAGCCATTGATCTTAATTGCTGCACCACCTCTCCAGCCCCCCAAATTTTAGTTCTTAAATATGAAAACATTGAGCTTTCAGAAATATAGAACATGGGGCTGGAGAGATAGCTCAGCAGTTAAGAATACTGGCTGTTCTTGCAAAAGACCCAGGTTCAAATCCCAGCACCCCCATGGCAGCTAGCTAACAAGTATCCATAACTCAGTTCCAGGGAATCCAATGTCCTCTTCTGTCCTCTGTGGGCATTGCACAACACAGGTGCACTTACACACATGCAGGCATAACACTCATACACATAAAAAACAAAAACAAATAAATCCAAAAAAATTTAGAAAAAGAAATATAAAACAGAAAAAATTATTAGAGAGTTGACTCAGGATATAACTCAGTGGCAGAGTGCTTGCTTATCAAAGGCAAGGACCTGGGTTTCATCCCTAGCGCCACAAAAGAAAAACAGGAAGAAAGGGAGGGAAGGAGGGAAGAAAGGAGGGAGGGAGGGAGGGAGGAAGGAAGGAAGGAAGGAGGGAAGGGAGGGAAAGACAGAGGGAAGAACTGAGTGAGAAAAGGGGGAAAACTAAGCTGTGTGACCCTCTGTACCAACTGTTAGGTAATTTGTATCCTTGGTGACTTTTTTTTAGTCTTTTTGAGGCAGGGTCTCCCTGTAGTTCCAGCTGTCCTGAAACCCACTATGTAGACCAGGCTACATAGTGAGTTTGAACTCATTACGAACTTGAACTCAGAGATCCACCTACCTCTGCCTCCCAAGTGCTGGGACTAAAGGCATGCACCACCACACCAGCCCCGTGGTGACATTTAAAGTGGATCTGAAAGTGTTTTTGTTTTTTCCTACTGCCTACTTAAAAATCATTTTCAAAATTAATGAAAGTGATTCCTCCTTTTCAGGGAAAAGAAGGAGCCTTTATGGTTCGAAATTCCAGCCAGGTGGGAATGTACACAGTGTCCTTATTTAGTAAGGCTGTGAAGTAAGTACAATGTGTTTATTTCTTTTATCCTCTTGTGTATGCTCTTTGCAAATATTGGCCATTTTGTCACACTGAAGTGAGATATCATTATTGAACATCATTAAAAATTCTGTTAAATATGACCAATAGTCATTGCCTTCCTACCCCGTGCTTTCAAGAAGCTGTTCTCTGATTGATCTTCCCCTATGCACTCCAAACAGCAGAGTGCTGTTGAGTACATCACACTTCCATAAACATTTACTGAAACACTTGGGTAAGTCGCTTGGAGTCAGGTCTAAGCCCAGAAGAAAAAGAAAAATAGCAATATCTGGGCATGGTACCCTATGCCTTTAATCCCAGCATTGCATAGGTAGAAGCAGGCCTCTCTCTGTAAAAAACAAAACAAAAAAAGCAAAACAAAACAAAGAAGAGAAAATAGAAATAACACTTTCAAACTCTCAGCCCTACGTACCTGCTGAGGTATGAACACTGCCCTGGTGTCCAGTTTTTAGCGCGCTTTCCCAGTGAGGTTGAATGAAGGTAGGTGCGTTCTCTGCAAAGCTGCCTTCCACCCACTTGCTTTTGCAGGTAAAAGTTCTAGTTGAAGTCAAACTTACAGATTCAGATCCTGGCTCTTCCCATTTCAGGGCATTATTATGTTGAACAAGTTTTTTAACCTTTGTGCATCAATTTCTTTATTTGAAAGGGATACATAATAGTGACTATTATGAGCTATAAATGAAGTGATTTAATACATGTATTAGACCAGACCACTATCTGGCACATAGTAACACTGAATAAACTAAAAATGGTTACAATTATTGTTGTTGTTGCTACTGAAAGAGAGTAGCTGGCCTCCTCTTGCTTGCCTGCCATTTAGGTACAACACCCCCTGCCATCTCATGAAAGTCATCATCATCAGGATCCCCCTCCAGAAATTGTTTTTTGACACAGGGCCTCACAAGATAGCTTCCAATGCTAGAGTCTCCTGCTTTCCTCTCCCCAATGCTAGGATTGCTAGCATGCTTCTTTCAGAGTTTTATAAGTCATTTTCTCATTGTTACCTCTTTTGTTCCTTGTAATGCTCCTCCAAAGTAAATAGGAAATCTGTTTTCATCTGCACCATTTTGCAGATGAGAAGACTGAGGTTTGTAGAGAGATTTTAAAGACAAGCCTACAAACCTAAATGACCAATCTAAAGCTAAACCTCCAACAGCAAAATAACCAACCCATATTCCTTCATCCATACTGCTGTGAATACACTGAAACCTTCAATGTTTGGGGAATGGGGATCTGACAAAATCTTGATTGATTAGACCATTTAAAAAAAATTAACAGTTGGATTGAATGACTTGTGTAGACATGTGCCCTACCCCACAGAGCATGCATATGTATTTATAATAAATTAGATCATGATAAAGGAATTTTTATTTTGAGATTTGTTTTCCAGAGTATCTACTTCCAACTTGAGATAATAGGGTGTGTGCTGAGTGGCCACACAACATTTGGCAATACCAGAATCCATGTCTCCAGTGAGCTCATACACTAGGTTGCACATGGCTTCTGCCTGAAACAAATCCAGTAACAGGAGAACATTCTGTTCACTGAGCATCAAAACAACTGTAGTCCTCTGGATACAGCCAAATTCAGTATTAGATGTCCTCCTCTTCAAGCTCCATCACTCAGATTCATTTTCAAAGCTAATTAAGTAGATGAATTATTAAATAGATAAGGAATCAAATGAAAGCAATTCTCTTTTATGAAGCTTCATCAGCTCATACTGACACTAACAGCAGATCGGTCATCTGCAACAAACAGAAACACCCTCTTCCCTTTTTCTAATTGCAATTTTTATTTTTTTTTAAATTTATGTGCATGAGTGTGTTGCTAGCATGTATATAAGTTCACACATGTCTTGCATGACCGCGGAGGTCAGAAGACGGCGCCGGATCCCCTGGAACTGGAGTTAGGACAGCTGTTAGCTGCTATGTGGGTGCTGGGATTTGAACCCAGGTCCTCTGTAAGAGGAGGCAGTGCTGTGCCAGGTATTGTGCATGTGCAAACACACAGACACACACACACACACACACACACACACACACGCACGCACACACAAAATCTTCACTAGCAAGTGGAAAAACTGTCCTCAAAGTCAAGTTCTTGACCACCATGCCATACTCTAAAATCTAAGACAGGCATATTATTCCTGATTAGCCAGAATGGGTGTACACCACTGTTTTCTAGAACTGGAGGAAAAGTAGAAAATATTTTTTAATTTTTTATTCATTATTTTTATTTTATGTGTATGAATGTATTGCCTGCATGAGTATAAGTGTAGCCATATCATGCAGTGCCTTCAGAGGACAGAAGAGGGGGTCAGATCCTCTGGAACTAGAGTTACAGACAGTTGTTAGCCACCACATGGGTGCTGGGATTCGAACCTATGTCCTCTGCAAGAGGAGTCAGGGCTCTAACCACTGAGAGATCTCTCCAGTCCTAGAAGAAAATATTTTATGTGGAAAATGTATGTAATATAGTTATTGGATCATAGCACGGCCTGTCACATAGTAAACACTTAGTAAACGGACAGCGATAACTAGTACTGTTGTTGCTGGGATAGAGGCGTCTTGTATGAGAAAATATACCCCTATTCATTTCTTCCTGTATGCCCTGCTCCCAAAGGAGCTCTAGGGTGAGAGTACATACAGTCTAATCCACCTTTGTCCCCCCTTTTTTCCGTCCATTATTAGAAAAGAATTTATAGCCTCACATAATCCTAAAGAATTTCAAGGCTCTTAACCATCAAAGGTAGGCTCAGTAGATTTTACCCTTACTAAGAGTGGAACAGTATATAAAATTGAAATGACATCAAAATTTTACATTACTTTGTTGCTGTTGTTTTTGAGACAGGGCCTCCCAGTAGCCTCAGCTGGACTGGAACTCGCTATGTAGACCAGGCAGGCCTGGAGCTCACAGATATCCATTTGTCTCTGCCTCCCAAGTGCTGAGATTAAAGGTGTGTGCCACCACACCTGGCTCTTTATTACATTTTTATCTACTAATTTTGTGTGCTGGGGTGGGGGGGACAAGTACGGAGGTCAGAGGACAATTTGTGGGAGCCAGTTTTCTTCTTCCACCATACGGATCACGGGAATCAAACTCAGGTTTCCAGGCTTGGTAGCAAGCACCTTTACTCACTGTGACATTTTGCCAGAAACTAAAGCTAAAATTTTATAGCGTGTGAATTTTGTCTGTGCACAAAGGATACACTGAGTTGAGAGAGGAACCCTCTTCCATAGTTACTGACTGTCATGGATGCTTTTAGAGAAAAGCCAGATGTCAAGACTGACGCACTATCCTTGTGTTTCTTCTCCATAATCTGCAAACGCATCCAAAATAATTATTTAACCACTGTTTAATCATGTGTTTGTTTAAAACATCCTAACATTCTTTTCTCTGTACTAGTGATAAAAAAGGAACAGTCAAACATTACCATGTGCATACCAATGCTGAAAACAAACTATACCTGGCAGAAAACTACTGTTTTGATTCCATTCCAAAACTCATTCACTATCATCAGCACAATTCAGCAGGTAACTTATTTCAATGTTTCTATTATGGACACTTGAGTATAAATGTCAGATCTCTTGGATACTATGGATCCTCCTAATATTATACAGTGCACCAAGCACTGAGAAAAAAATACTATCAATTTCTTTGTCTGTTGTAATTTGTAACTCACATTTCCTCAAATCCAACACAACACACTCTATAATACCAGGAAGAATGAAGTTGGCGGACAGAAAATTTATTTTCATAAAACTATTTGTATGTTTTAGTTTCACCATAAATATAAATTCATTGCATATTTCTACTCACGAAGTTCTGTGCACCTGCTGGAAAGATTCTATAGTTAATTTCTAAGACAAAGGAGGAGACAATTTTAAATTTAGAAATTACCAAACGGTTTGTCGAAGTGTACAAGCCTACTGGCAACAATTTCTTTCATATTCATTAACATGGGATGCTATTTTGTCTTTAAAACTTTATGTAATTTATGCGTATCCCTACATTTTCTGTAATAGTACTTCTGTGTGTTTACATGTGGTATGTTTTCGTACATGTTTATGTGTGTGTGTGCATATGTGCACAACATATGTGCATATGTGTAGAGGCCAGATTTCCATACTGGGTGTTTTCAATAGGGGTTCTCCACCTTAATTTTTTTTTTGTCTTTGAGACAGGGTCTCCCTGTAGCCCCAGCTGGCCTGGAACTCACTATGTAGACCAGGTTGGCCTCGAACTCACAGAGATCCGCCTGCCTCTGCCTCTCAAGTGCTGGGACTAAAGGCGTGTGCCACCACGCCCGGCTTCTCCACCTTAATTTTTGAGATGAAATCTCTCCCGGAACCTGGAGCTCACTGATTCGGTTAGGCTGGCTGGCCAGCAAGCTCCAGAGATCTGCCTATCTCTGCTTCCATGGTGTTGGAATTCCAGATGCACACCATGGTGCATGCTGAATTTTTGTGCATTTCATACAATAGATCTTAATCATATTTAGACCCCTCCCTTATCTGCACCCCCCATAGGCCACCCACAGGATTTCATGCATTCTGTCATATATGTTAATGTCTATTGAGTCAAGTTTGTGTCCTCATATGTCCCTCAGTGTGAATTCATCCAGTGAAGCCTGGTCAGGCTATCTAGCATCACTCCCTTTAACAAGATCAATTCTCCCTCACCCAGCAGTGATCAGCATCAGTAGTTCTTCAGCCAAGATTGGGGCTTCTTCCCCATTTCCCCACTTCCACCTGGGTTTTTGTCTGGCTTGAGTTTGCTTGGATCGTGTGCATGTTGTCACCATTGCCTTAGGTTCATATAAGCAAGTTCCCAGCTGCCTGGAAAACTCCGTTTTAGTGTGCTCATCCACCACCCCTGGCTCTTACGGTCTTTCCACCTCGTCTTCTGCAATGATCTTCATGCTTATACTGCAAGCACTTTACTGGCTGAACCTTCTCCCAGGCCTGTAATTGTACCTCTTACAGGCAGTGACTGGATGAGTTTCCAACGATGAGTAAAAAATGTACATGGGCCCCACATCTAAGTAGTGCTGCTGCATGTCACTTGACTTGGCTTCCATTTTGGTTCTTGTTTGCATTTTCTTTTTTTCGAATTTATTCAGTTTATCTGGTACTACCTCAAGAGTGCCATTTGAAAAAAGTGTTATATCAATAGATATCTCTAAATGAATGATTACACCCTACAGGATGCAGTAGACTCTTCATGGGATAGAAAAGAAGATTTTAAAATGTTGAATTAATGGTGTGTTTTAAAAATATTTTTATTAAATTTTCTGCTTCTTGGTGTATTTTATGATTCACACAATGGTCATTACAGCACCAGGTGTACATACACATTTCAAAGGAATGTTTTAATTTTTAAATACATTAATTTATTTTTAATCAAAATATTTTATTACCAAAATATTGCATTTCTTAATAAAAACCATAAAGCACACAATATTTTAAATTACTCATAATTTTTTGTACCAAGAGGTCATTTTATGTATATATTTCTGTACATGGTGGATATTCACATGCTTTTGTCAAATAAAAACTCATATTGTACATGCTATTTACTTCTGCTGATTAAAGGTAGAGTGCTGAAAATATTTGGTTAACACTCATAAAAAGAAACCAATATATAAAAACAGAAAGGAATGCAAAATTCATGTGTGGTAGTTCCCATGACTATGAAACTATCCCATATTTAAAGCAAGAATCATTTATTTTGGGGGGGTCAGGTGTAGTGCTGTATGCCTTTAATCCCAGCACTCAGGATGCAGGGGCAAGCAGCCCTCTGTAAGAACAAGGCCAACTTGGTCTACATAGTGAGTTTCAGACCAGCTGGGGCCACAGGGAGACCCTGTCTCTAAAAAACAAAGCAAAAAACAAAAAAGAATCATTTACTTTTTGAGTTGGTTCATTCAAGGCACTGTAAAATTATAATGATTTTATCTAAATTCACTATAACTATATAAACAATGAAAATGACCATTGAATAAAATTTAGAAATAGATTTAATTTTTAAAATCAGCTTCTTTTATGTGATTATATATATGGATTTTTGAAAAAATTGTCAAATATATGTGCTATTTGTATTCATAAGTAAGTATAGCATAGCAAAATATGAATAAGAATTTATTTTAAATTAAAAATTCTATCAAGCAACTAATTCCTATGGAACTGCTTTGCATGAAGCAGATGCATCAAATCAAGCCACTTAATACAAGGACAGGACGGATATACTCACAGCACGTTCTCTTTCTGCATCAAAAAATGCTGAATCCCCCCACTCAGCTTCTCTGAAGAGTGTGAATCTGTGCTATGTAACATTATGTGATAATGATGTGATGATGTGATGCTGATTCCATTGCAGGCATGATCACAAGGCTCCGCCACCCTGTGTCAACCAAGGCCAACAAGGTCCCAGCCTCTATATCCCTAGGAAGTGGTATGGACACACCATTGGGCTTTTAAACTCCATTTCCTATCATTTTGGGTTTGCCTAACTGATAAATGATGGGTGACAGGAAGGAAGGGTCCTCTTTAGACTATTCAAGGGATAAATTTAGCCCTAACATATTTTATTCATCTTCTTTTAAAACATCTCCCCACACCTAAATCTCTAATCCCTCCAGTATTATCAAAACAAGTCTCAAGAGTTTATTCTTATCAGATGCTGAGATTAGCCTCCAATAATGCCTTAACTGTCCTTGATTTTTTTCTAGATTCCATGCTAGTGCTCAGCTTTTTATGTTTAGGGTAATAACATCTACCCACATCACCTTTTGATTTGCTTTATAAGAAAATCTAACAATGGTTTATCAACCTTAAGGGCATCCAGCACATCTTAACATTGGCTTTCTCCAAGATGCCCCTAGTTGGGCAAAAATAGTTTGTTCTGAGTCTTTTTATCAATAACTGCAGCTGCTTTGAGAACTGTTTTCCTGTGATGTGGTCATAAAACTACTTTGCTGAGGATTTTTTAAAGTTATTAACTTAAAATAATATTGTTCTTCATATTGTGGATATAAGTTGGATAAGAAGTCACTTTGGAAGTTATGAGCTCAGTCTCAGAAATGTCTGCCTTGCTTCATTAGGAATTTGGGAACTAAAAAGAGAAGAGATTGCCTTGGTGAAGGAGCTGGGAAGTGGCCAGTTTGGAGTGGTCCAGCTGGGCAAGTGGAAAGGACAATACGATGTTGCTGTTAAGATGATCAAGGAGGGTGCCATGTCAGAAGATGAATTCTTTCAGGAGGCCCAGACCATGATGTAAGTTTCTCCTGAGAAGTGGCAATTTGAATCTCACCATAGGAGAACATTATGTTTAACAGTCTCTGGAGCATGCTGTAGATAGAAATATTTTCAAGTTTTAATATGACCTAACAAACTTTAAAATAAAATCAGTGCTGTGTTCATAATTTGACAAGTACACCTGCATAGCAACTTGAAAAGCTATGTTTGAATTTAGAATACTCATAACTTCATAGAGAAATGAGCCTCTGGCCTCAGGGCCTCCAAACTCTATCCTTGATCTTTTTCACCCTCACAACTTTGTCCTATGCTTTGGCGGGTCTCAGTAATGTACGCAGCATATCCAAATTCCCTCCAGATTTCCTACAGACAGCTATGCATTAGCTAATGATACTGGTTATGGGTAGTGTGGTTCATCCTTGAAGGGATAGACCTATAAGGAGTCTTCAGAAGCCTTGAAAGGGCCCTCAGTACTAGAGAGAGGAGGTTCTATGGTCCTGGTACTTCCAATAGTGTCCAAGAAACAGATGCATAAGTTGTTAGAAGAAATGAGCCCTTGGCAGTATGACCTCTTTTTACCATGCATGGTGGAATGGGAGACAGAGAGGGACGATTACCCGGGACTAAGACAGTACTGAAAACTAATATTCTGCTAACAATATCGCTTTCCTTCTCAGTACTATCAATACAATCTTGTAAAACTTTCTCACTATTCTTCGTTCCTCAACTGACAAATGATAATACCCTTCCTAATGTTTCAGTTGCAAGCACAGTCCTCAACTCTTAGAGCATTCTCTCTCTCTCTCTCTCTCTCTCTCTTTCTCTCTCTCTCTCTCTCTCATTCTCCCCTCCCTTCATTTTTTTCTTTTTCGCCTCTCCTTCCTTTCTATATAATTCACCCTTTTCTTGAATTAGACTTTCTACCATCCAGGTTTACCTAAGACTTTCCTGATTTTGGTACTGCAAGTCCGGTATCCTTAGAAACTCACTTATCCTGGGAAAAATAGCAAAGCTGGTCACTCTTTTAGCGAACAAATCAATATGGATCAGAAAGTGTTATAGCAGGGCCTTGGTCAAAAATAGTTGAAATCTGGCTGCAGAGATGGCTCAGTCAGTAAAGTGCTGGTCATGCAAGCATGGGGACCTGAGTTCGATCCCTAGAACGCACATTAAAAACCTGGGTATAGTGATGCACACATGTAATCATAGCACTGAGGAGGAGGATACAGGTAGCTCTCTGGGGTTCAGTAGCCAACTAACCTGGCCTAATCGATGGATCCACAGTCCCAGTGAGAGACCCTATCTGAAAAACACAAGGTAGATGGCTCTTGAGGAATGACACCCAACGTTGACCTCTGGCCTCCACATGTGTCCACATGTACACACAAGAACACACATACACACACACACAATATCAAAGGAAACTGGAGTGTCAGAACAATCACTTCCACCATAATCGCAGAATTGTTCAGAAGCGAAGGTGTTGCTTAAAGACAAGCCTTTGGCTGGGACTGACTTTATGGTCGTATCACTCCCACATGTGCCAGGACCAGGACCTCCAGCACTTGCTTTAAAGTTCTACTTTCAGGACTGGAGAGATGGTTCAGTGGTTAGGCGCATTGGCTGCTTTTGCAGAAGTCCTGGGTTTGAATTCCATCACCCACATGGAGACTAACAACTGTCTATAACTCCAGTTCCAGGGGATCCAACGTCTTCTTGTGTCCTCTGTGGGCGTTGCACGGCATGGGTGCACTTACATGCAGGTACAATACTCATACACATAAAATAAAAATAAGTAAAAAAATAAAGTTCTACTTCCACATCACAAAATAATAATTTGTGTTTGGTTTGTGTTTCTCAGACAGGGTCTCACTTTGTAACCCAGTGTGGCCTTAAAGTCACAGCAATGCCCCTATCTCAGTTTGCCAAGTGCTGGGAATACCACTGCATAAAGCTCAAAATAATTTTTAAATGATTTTTCTATGTTCATATTTCACTAGAATCTGCAAATTATGTATCTGGTTCTATCCTTAGTAACTGAACTGGTAACTGGGGAAGGATTCCTTGGTATCCTCCTTTGATGGAACAGAAAATCCTTAGAGAAACTTTCTTAGGCACAAGATGTAACCCCTCTGTCCTGGTATAATATTAGAGCATGTATTTGTCATTAGACCTGGCAATTATAAATAATCCTTAAAAGTTAACCTCCAGGACGCATGTAAAAAATTCGAGGCATGGTGGCCCCGGTTATAATCCTAGCTCTGAGACCTGGAGACATGAGGATCCCTGGGGCTCACTGGACAGTTAGTCTAGCCTGCTTGGCAAACTCCAGTTCAGTGAGAGATCCTGTCTCAAAGGAGGTGGTTGGCTTTGCTGAGGATGACAACTCAGTTTGTCCTGTGGCCACACACACACACACACACACACACACACACACACACATACCATGCGTTTTTTTAGAAAAATCAAAAAAGATGGACTGGAGAAGTGGATGGCTCAGCAGTTAAGAGCACTGACTGCTCTTGCAGAGGACCCAGGTTCAATTCCCAGCACCCAAATGGTGGCTAACAATAACCCATAGATCCAGTTTCAGGGAATCCAATACCCCCTTTTGACCTCCATGGGCATTGCACAACAAGGGTGCACTTATATACAAGCAGGCAATACATTCAAACACATAAAATAAAAATAGTAATAAAATATTATTTTTAAAAATCAAAAATTTGGGCTGGAGAGATGGCTCAGTGGTTAAGAACACTTATTGTTCTTGCAGAAGACCTGGGTTCAAATCTCAGCACCCACATGGCAGCTAACAACTGTCCATAACTCCAGTCCTAGGGGATCCAACAGCCTCTTCTGTCTTCTTCTGGCACTGCACGACACGGGTGCACTTACCCACATGCAGGCAATACATGCATACACATAAAATAAAAATAATAAATGAAATATTTTTTAAAAATCAAAAATCAAGAAAGAGAAAGAGGAAAAAAGAAGAAAAAAATGAAAGATTATCTGTAGTCTACTCTTACTTTCCTAAAACAGCAACTATTTTCATTTTACCTACATTCTTCATGTTATAAATTTTTAACATGATGCTGTACCGATTCTCTGTAAAAACTGCTAAGTTGCTGGCAGACCTGCCAATGTCGAATATGAGGCATCATTAAAATTTTTTTTCCTTAAAAAGTTATTTTTTCCCAACATAAGATCCTAAACTTAACTGTTCTCTTTCTCTGTTCAAGTAGAAGATGGAAATGAAAACCTGCTCAACCTTGCTCAGGGCATGGGAAAAATGGAGTGCAACATACTGAACTTTGCAAATCTGTTCTTTTCTCAGGAAACTCAACCATCCCAAGCTAGTTAAATTCTATGGAGTATGTTCAAAGAAATACCCCATATACATAGTGACTGAATATATAACCAACGGTTGCTTGCTGAATTATCTGAAGAGTCATGGGAAAGGACTCGGACCCTCCCAGCTCTTAGAAATGTGCTACGATGTCTGTGAAGGCATGGCCTTCTTGGAGAGCCACCAGTTCATACATCGGGACTTGGTAAGGCAAGCCATTGGAGTGTCAAAGAAAGGAGACAGCATACACCACAATTCCCTCCTCCAGGCATAGGGCCATGGGGAGGTCTGACAAAGATGATATCTTCACTTTTTCTTTTCACACTCATGACTTATGTGAGCATGTCATACATTTGCAATAAAAATCATAATTTTATAATAAAACATGAAGCATGGAAAGAGCAGTAACAGTAAAATAAGCCATCAAGATCTTGTGGAAGATGTAGACAGAAAGATTCTAAGAGCCAGAGGTGGCAGACCAATATTGGGAAACCGTGTTGTGTAAATGCCATAGGGTATCTGAAAATATGAACCCACAGTGCTTGTGACAGCATGCACAAGACTTGTGTATTCCCAAGGCAGATAGGGACCCAGCATGGAGTATGGGGTAGGTGGGCAAGAAGCCCAAGCTCTAGCTGGGGATTTATTGGCAATAGATAGCTGCTGAGAGAGGAAGAGTCAGTTTTTTTTTAGGTATGTGACTCCTGATGGGTTGACCAGGCTCCAAGGGATAGACACATACCCAAGAGTATTTGGGGAGTAGATTAGATTCTATAAGCCTTTCAAAAAAGATAAAAATAATAATAGAGGACATTGATTGGGGGCTGGTAGAGTGGGGTAGAGATGAAAGAGAGGGTCTCTGAATGTTATAAAAATATATTCTATGAAATTCTTGAAGAGTCAACAAAATATTTTTTAAAGATCGACATAGGCAGCTATGCTGTGGTATGAAGAACAGGTGGAAAGGAAAAACTTGGGCCAATTTAGTGTTTCACAAAACTATTGGGGTTTAGTGCTGAGGCAGAGACTAGATACAATAATTAAAAGTCCAAAAAGGGAAGGGAAATTGTGTGAGTGTGTTTGGGTTGGGGTGGGAGTTGAGAGTGCTGTGTTTGGTATTTAGTGGGATTTATCTTCAGAGATTTTACTGGGCTAAACAGGAAGCAGGTTATGTACACTAAACTCATGCGTCCCGTAAATCCCTGGCACAGCAACCATGCCTTCTAAGAATCTGTGGAAGACATTTTTGTTCTCTTCTCAGTAAACTGAGATTCTATATTCAAAATATATTTTCAATCAATTTGGGTGCTTGGATGAACATGCTTTTGCAAGCACATTTTCATCTTGAAAAACTGAAAATTAGAAGACACAAAAAGAGCGTTTCAGAACAATTGAGAGTGTGATTGGCTATTGGATTTTGGTTCTGCTGAAGGGAATAAAAATGTGTGATTTTGACATTGGACGATTCTTCGTCAGTTTTACTACTTAGGGACTTTGCTTTCATTCCCAAGGCTGCTCGGAACTGCTTGGTGGACAGCGATCTCTCTGTGAAAGTCTCGGACTTTGGAATGACTAGGTAAGCCAGTAATCTCCCCTGATAGCTTTTTTCCTGATGTTTCCAACTATAGTGGTGATCCCTAACACATTTTGATATGTAGTATTCTTGTCAGCTGTTTTAGGTGGAGGAAGTAGCTAAGCTGTTAAAATGCTTGCTGCACAAGCATTAGGGCCTGAGTTTGATCCAAAGTCCCTAACATAAAACTCAGGCACTACAGTGTGCCTGTAATCCTGGTAATTAAGAGGCAGAGACAAGAGGATCCCTCAGGCCTGCTGGTCAACCAGTCTAGCCAACCAGAGTGAAAAATCCTGTCTCAAAAAATAAAGTGGATGGGATAGAGGGGTGGCTCAGCAGTTAAGAGTGCTTGCTCCTCTTGAAGAGGACTGGAGTTCAGTTCCCAGCACCCACATTAGGAAGCTCACAATTGTCTGTAATTTCACCTCCAGGGGATCTGACACACTCTTCTGGTTGATGTGTGCAAATGCATTCATGTGCACAAATATGTACACACAAACACACAAGTACACATAATTAAATTTTTTTAAGTCTTTAAGAAATCAGATGGAGACTTATTGAGGAAGACATTCAACATTGATCTCTGATCTCTGCATAGGAACACACACACATATAACACACAGACACATGTGCGTGCACACACACACACACACACACACACCAGAGAGGAGAGACAGAGAGAGAGAGAGAGAGAGAGAGAGAGAGAGAGAGAGAGATCCAAAATAATCCAGAAAACTGATCCATTCAACTGACTCTGAATGACTCCATATCCTTCTTCACCAGCCTGTCCTGCCATGCAGACAATCATGGCCAGTAGAGATCTTCCCATTTTGAACCACCATGTGTCATAACGTCTGTGTTGATGTTTTCCCTGCAGATATGTTCTTGACGACCAGTATGTGAGTTCAGTGGGCACAAAGTTTCCAGTCAAGTGGTCAGCCCCAGAGGTGTTTCACTACTTCAAATACAGCAGCAAATCAGACGTATGGGCATTTGGTAAGGAAGTGACCACACAGCTCCCAGTCCTGTTTCATAAGATGGCTTCCACAACAGGAAACCACAAGAGCAGCAACATCCATCTGAACAAAGACCTTGAGCATTTACAAACTTACACATACAATCTGAGACAAGCAAGAGGGTGAAGAGGATCATTTACTTTCTTGGGTTAGATGTTAGTAAGTCTTCTGCGCATTACATAATTTACATCAGGCCAGCATCTTTCCACAAAATCAAAGAATATAGGATCTTTGCCAACCAAGCTTTCAAATGGTTTTAATTTTGTTTTGTTTATTAAGCAGTATCTTGCAATGTAACCCAGGCTGGCCTCAAACTCATAATCCTTTCTCTCATTTGTCTCCCAAAAGCTAGAATTACAGATGTGCCTCACCTCTCCCAGCCTCAGTTTTTAAAAAGAGATCATTAAAGCTTAAATGTCAGTTTGTTGAAATACAAAAGCTTGAAAGCCCTAAATTGAAATCACAGATGATCAATATGAATGTGTAACTGTGATAAACCACTCACTCTCTTCTGAATGGGCAGATTCTTTGAACATCCCTAATGGATGCATCAGGCACGACTGTATACTTTCTTTAGCTCCATGTTAGTCTGATTTTCATTACTCTAACTGATATGTGACATAGTCACCTTAGGAGGAGAAACAATTTATCATGGTTCACAGTTTTGAAGGTTCCAGCCTGTGGTTAGATTTGTTGCCTTAGGGTCCATGGTGAGGCAGGTGGAATGGAAGATGTGGTGGAGCAAAGCTATTCACGTCATGAACAGAAAGAAGAGAGAGGAAGAGGAGGGGATGGGATCTCTGTCTCCCTTTCAGGGCACATTCTTCATGACCATAAAGCCTCTCAAGGCCTTAAACTTTCTACACCTTGTAATAGCACCAAACTGGGAACCACACTTTCAAAGCATGGCAAACTCATACTATGTTTCAAATCATCTCCACCCCTTGTGAAAGTTTACATTTTAGATCAGGGGTAGGAAACAACAGCCCTGGACCAAATTAGGTGTTCTGTTTCTGTAGATAAAGTTTTATTGGCTACAGCCATGCCCATTCACTTCCATGTTGTCTGTAGCTGAATTTGTGCCACAATAACAGAGGAATCGCCACAGATACCACATGACCCGTAAAACCTAAAATACCATTGTATTTTTAAAAAAATTCTTTTTGGTTTATTTGAAACTAGGTCTCCCTGTAATTCTGGCTGGCCTGGAAATCATTATATAGATCAGGCTGGCCTTGATCTCACAGAGATCCACCTACTTGTACCTTCTGAATGCTGGAATTAAAGGTGTTGGCTACCATGCCTGACTAAAAATATTTTTATTAATACTTTGATAACTTCATACAGTGTATTTTGATCATATTCTTCCCTCCCCCAACTCCTCCCAGATCTACTCCCACCTCCTCACCCATCTAACTTTGTGTTCTTTTCTCCCCACCAGCAAGTACAACCATTGCTGTTTATTTCAACAGAAGTTTGGTAACTAGTATTGCTATTTTCCTAGAAGGTCTATATTAAAATTTACTAGTTCAAGGTGGTCATAATAATGTATACCTGTAATCCTAGCCCTCAAGAGGCTGAGGCAGGAGTATTACGAGCTGCCAGCCAGTCTAGGCTACATACCTAGGCCTTTCTCAGAACAACAACAAATTTAATAATAGAGTTGCTGATATAGCTTAGTGTGAGAGCATTTTCCTAGCATACTCAAGGCCCTGGGTTTGATCTCCAGCACCAAAAAAAAAAAAAAAAAAAAAACCTGATAAACCAAAACTAAAAAGAAAGAAACCAAATTTAGGAAAGGTAATTATAAAAAGAAAAAGATTCTTAAATTATGAATCTGTTGTCAAGGTTTGTTGTTTAATATGTTGACAGTGTCAGAACAGTTTTCAGTCACTGTCTGATTCACAATACCAGGATTCACAATCTGGTATTGATAAATTATCATAAAGTAATAAAATATGCTACTTATGATATGATAAAAAACTATTGCATGCTTGTCTTCATCCATAAGTACAGTTTTATCAATCACTTAACACATGCAACACATCTTTAAAAAAATCAGTTAGCTAATTAATTTTTCTGCATCAGTTTTATAAAAATAAATATTCCCTTTTAAAAAGTGTCACTTTTCATTGGAAAAGATAATCAAATGTACACAAAAAAGGAAAAGTCACAAATAAGACATTTTGTGCTGATTAAGTTTGGCCCTTGTTGTCAAAATTAGTTTTAGTATCCATGCATCAACTGATATGCCTACTGAATGATATTTGTAATATTGGTGCTCTCATTCCATAGTTATAGCCTTTTGATCAAAGACAGCATTTCCCAACCCGATTATCCATCTTATGTAACACAACCTGATTCCATATATTTTCTGGCTGTTTACAAACAGCAAATCTATTCTTAAATGATTTGCCCCCAATATGTATATTCAAAATGAACCAGGACCTCTTAAAGCAATTCTCAAAGAAGAGGCCCTGCCCACAGTTGTTTTATACAGTTGTGATATTAACTTTGAAATAAGCATGCAGTGTTTCAAAGAGAAAGTTGTGAGGGAACATCCCTCTTTTTATAGGTTTTAAATATTTAGAAAAAAAATTATTTACTATTTTATTTTATGTGTATGAGTATATTGCCTTCATCCATGTAAGTGCACCCATGTCGTGCAGTGTCCATGGAGGTCAAAAGAGGGTGTCAGAATCCGTAGAACTGAAGTTACAGATGGTTGTTAGCTGCCATGTGGGTGCTAAGAACAAAACCCAGGTCCTCTGCAGACCAGTCACAACACGCAAAGTTGTTTAATTATGTTAATATTTCATATAAAATTTGTAGCCTACAAGTCAGAGTTTGAGGTCGCTGTTTTAAAACAGTTTTCTTCCTTCTTATATACTTCTGGTTTTCCAATATTTTGGACCTGGTTGACTGTTGAATTATTTGTCCTTGGACAGAACAGCACCATTCAGATAGCACTTCAAACTTTCCAGTGCTCTCTTTTAAGAGCAATACGTGTTGTAGTTTGCTTAATTCTTGTGGCAGATTCAGAAGGTGCTAATACTCTTTAATAGAAAAGCTGAGCCTGGGAGGTATTAAGGAATTTACCCTGCCTTTGAGAAGGAGAGCTCATCTTTGAAGGCCACACCTAAGTGACCCCAAAAGTCATTCTCTTGATCATCATAAACACCACAACTCGGTATCTTATCCTGGAGCCCACCATGTTCTCCATGAACTCTGGAGGGCTGTGAACATCCTGAAACTGAATACAGATATGCTGTGAGCTCATTTTAACAAGCCTGAGGCTTTGATCAGATTCCCAAAATGGTGCCTCACTCAGGAAAGACAGTGACTGATGGATTACAGCAATAGACCTAGAGGACAAGGAGATAGAAATCTATAGTTTTGTGTTTACATTTCTACTAAAAGGCAGTTTGATTGTTCAATGAACTTTACACAGCCACCAAAGCAGAGAGAAAGGGTGAGGATTTCATTACTCACAAGGGTTGGAATGACTGCTCACTACACAGGCAGTCATCAATGTGAGACCGCAAGAGACCCTAGCTTCCTCTTGCAAGCAGTCATGAACCCTGGTTCCAAGTGGTTCCCACTGAGGCTGCTGTTGCCATTCACTTGCTTTGTAACAAGGACAAGGAACATAAGGCCCTAGGCTCCAGAAGTGATGTCCAAGGTCACCTTCCATGCCCTCCCCTTTTCACTAGGCCTCATCTCCCAGAAATCCCTTGCTCTGATCTATGACCTTTTGTATCTGTGATGTAAAGTTCATTCCACAGACACTGGACCTTCTGACGTTGGCTCTCTTTCTTTTCTGTCTGCCTACTGCTCCTCGATGCTGGTGCAGGGATCCTGATGTGGGAGGTATTCAGTCTTGGGAAGCAGCCCTATGACTTGTATGACAACTCCCAGGTGGTTGTGAAGGTCTCCCAGGGCCATAGACTCTACCGGCCCCAACTGGCATCAGACACCATCTACCAGATCATGTACAGTTGCTGGCATGAGGCAAGTACACCCTGTGAAGAGGCTGGAAGGGGTCTCCATGGTGGGGGAGGGTTGCATCAGTAGGGATAAGGGTAAATACCTGCTACACAGACATTGGAAATGACCCTCGATCATGTTTGTTTGTGATACAAAACAAAATGGCGGTGCTGAAAATTTCCTGAACAACTTGTATACAACACTATTGTAAGAACTTTGTAAATATTAGCTCAGCAGAAAATACCCTATGAGGTCAGTACTAGCATCAGCACTAAAACTGTTGGGTGAGGACATAGGGGCCCAAGGAAGTCAAGATCAGATAGTTATTAAAGGAGGCAGGATGATAGTGCCAGTGTCCCTGTTCTCAACAAATCTATGAAGTCTATCCTCAACTCAAAAATGTATGACAAGAACATCTGACCACACACAAAGATCACATAAAAAACAACATCCCATCATTTCTTCCCCTGCCTCTCAAACACCAACTAAAAGCATGCCATATAGGTAGAGAATAGGTGTGTCACATGAAGTAGATGTGAGCCTAAAGTGGAAGAGATTCACTTGCAAACCATCTTCTATGTTTAGACAACTAATTGGGGAACTTAGGTATGAGACCCCACCACTGGCCTCATTGAAATCAAGATCTTTGCACACAATGATTCAAGAAGACCTCAGAGGAAAGAGAACTGCTTCCTGAATTCTCTGGTACCTGAATCATATCAGAAAATCTCTTCAAAATCCCCTTGTTATGTGAGTTGAGATGGTGCCAGCTAGTGTCCAGGTGAGACTAGCATAAGCAAAGGTGTGGAAGCAAGAAGTACGCATGGTGTCCCCCGGCTGACCTACTGTGGCAAAGGCTGAAAAATCAATTGGGAAGAGTAAGTCTGATCCAGATTATTTAAGCTGGAGAAGGAGGACAGGAAGAAGGAGGAGGAGGAAGAAAAAGAAGTGAAAATTTGACTCTTATAGGCAATATGAAGCCATTGAAATTGTTTGAGCAGTACACAAGAAAGAAACTTCTAAGAACACAATTAATTTCTCAGGGCCAAGCGATGTCTCAGCAGTAATGTACTAGCTTTGTTGACCCAGATCAATTCCTGAAACCCCTATTTAAAAAAAAAATGTGGATAGTGCTGGAGAAATGGCTCAGTGGTTAAGAGCTTACTGCTCTTACAGAGAATCAGAGTTTGGTTCCCATCACCCACATTGAGTCGTTCACAACTGCCTGAAACGCTAACGCCAAAGGAATTCTATGCCCTTTTGTGGCCTCTGTACGTGGCCACACACACATATGTGCATATAGACACACAGATAAACATACATAAATAAAAAATAAGTCTTTAAAAAGATAGCCAGGGGCCTGGAGAGATGGCTCAGTGGTTAAGAGCACTGGCTGCTCTTGCAGAGGACCTGGGTTTGATTCCCAGCACCCACATTGCAGCTAACAACCATACATAACTCCAGTTCCATAGGAATCCAACACCCTTTTCTGACTTCTGAGGGCATTGTGCAACACAGGTGCACCTATATACATGCAGGCAATATACTCATGTATACAATAAAAATAATAAACAAAACGTCTTTTAAAAAATAGCCAGATGTGGTGGTACACATGTATAATCTCAGCACTACCATGCTGAAATGAGAGAATCACAATTTCCCACAAACTCATGTTATCCTAGAGTATGTAATGCAGCAGCAGAAACAAGGGAGATTTGACCTCAACAATGCAGAAAGCGAGAAAAGACTCCCCAAAATTGTCTTCTCACCTCCCCATGTGAACATGGTATATGCCTGTGCTCACACATGCCAAGACATAATTGCTGATAACCATTATTTATACGGTATTTCCTAATGACAAAAGGGCCTAATTCATTCATTGACTAGTAAAAATCAAATGTGTCATATGTTAAGCATGCAAATTCTAGAGCCTAAATATCTGGATTGCATCCTGCCTTGATTATTTACTAGCTGAATGACCTTGTTCATCACTATGGTTTACTGCAAAATTTTACTTAACTCATAGGACTATTGTGTGGATTCAAAGCACTACAACAGTGCCTGCTGGACAGTAAATGCTTCACCCACTATTTTTGGAGAACTATGAATAATCTGACACACATAATTTAAATAGACCTCAATCTCCTGTATTGGAGCCTTTATTCCCACTTAGCAAGGGCTGCAGACTGTTTCACGTATGTCATCATTTAGCCTTAAATGATTGCTTTGAATGTGGACCACTCTACAGTACTTGGAATGCTGAATAAGGACTGCCTACATTTTCTTATCCACAAAGTAGTAATGGTGAGAATGTCAGACTGCACCAGAGAGTCAGATTGGGTCTGAGCAGAGACCTGTTAGAAATCAGCCCATCAACAGGCTGACATAAGCTTTAACCTGTCAGATGAAGAACCTCCCTGCACCTCCTACTCTAGATCTGGGACTATAATTATACCATCAAAATGGACAGTGGTTCTGAATGGGAAGGGGCTTCCTGCTTTCCACACTTCGTCCGTAAAAGTGTATGAGTTATGGCAAAACCCATGAAGATGGGTATACACAGAGATAATACCCACTTAGAGATCCTACCTGTAGAACATAGAGTGGAGACATTTTGATTTCCCTTTCTTTTTTGTATTTTACTTTACACCTTTTCAAATCCATAAAATGCTTAGGAGAACATTGCTTTTTTTTTTTTTTTCATTAGATTGAGGCTGGAGAAATGGCTCAGTAATTAAGAGCACTCACAACCACATGTAACTCCAGCTTCCAGGGGATTTGATGATTCCTTCTTCGGGTCTCCAAGGACACCTACCTGCATGTACCTGTACAGCCTCCACCACACACACACACACACACACACACACACACACACACAATTAAATAAAATAAATCTTTAGATTTTTTTTCATTAGGTTCTGATTTATCCTCCTGGGACTTTTACTCTTCACTAGCAAGAAAGATAAATATATGCTTTCCTCAACAATGGAGCACATGCTCAGCTTCTGATATTTTTTCTAAACTGAAGGATGAAAATTAGCATTGTGATGCAGACTGAATATGTGTATCTCATTATGAATAAGACTGAGCCCCTTTCCATCTTTTAAAGGTCAACTGTATATCTTTCTGACAACCGTCATTTTTTGTCATGGTTTAATGATCCCTTTATAAACATGGGATATGAATGCTTTATATGAGAAGTTGTCAGTATTTTCTAACATTTACTCCTAGTTTGTGATAGTTTGACATTTGTATTTTTATTTGATTGATAGTGTTTCTTGTTTTAATGTGCAAAAGATTTGAAATATACTTGAATTTCCCAGTATTTGCTTTTATTGTTTATGGAAATTAAGTCATGTTTGCATAGCCTTTCTTTTTATGTTTGTGGTATTGGAAATGAATCTCAAGGCTTCGCATATGTTCTCATGTTCTCTCTCTGTCTCTGTCTCTGTCTCTGTCTCTGTCTCTCTCTCTCTCTCTCTCTCTCTCTCTCTCTCTCTCAGCACATGAGTGCCACAGCATATATGAAGAAGTCAGAGGACAAACTCGAGTGTCATTCGTCACCTCCCACCTTATTTGAGACAGGTTCATTTTGTGGTTTGCAACTGTGTACACCAGGCTAGCTGGCCCACAAGCTTCTGGGAATTCCCTCATCACAGGAGTTCTGAGATTATAGGTTTGCACTACAGTGCCCAGCTTTATGTGGGTTCTATCCATCTGAACTCAGGTTCTCATGCTTACATGGCAAGCACTTTTACCTACTGAGCATCCCCCCAGCTCCTTACCTAGGCTTTCTACAACCAAATTATGATGGAATTCTCCCAGATTTTCCTCTAGTGCTTTTAGGATTTCATTATTTTTTATGTAGATCTCTGATTTGATTTATGTTTGCTATGGAATACAGTATGAACTATGATCCAAAGATATCATTTTAAAGTCCTTATCCAGTTGCTGGAAGCCCTGTTTACTAAAAGACTACATAGTCCCAAGCGATAAGATGCCACCTTAATGGCAGTGAAACGACACCCTAATGTTATTCTATATTTCCACATGTCTTTGCTTTATTTTAGGGCTTCTTCTGTTATCTGGTCCTTGTACTCATATGCTAGTACCATACTATTTTAATTATACATATATTGTTATATAACAAATATTATATGACATTTAGATGCTATGTAGGCTAGTACCCTCATGGTTTATCTTTGTTCATAGTTTCCTAACCATTTTTCAAGTTCAAAATCTATGAAACAAATTCATTTAGCTTAACATAAACTCATTCATGTCTTTATATTTTAACTTGCAAAATTTAGCAACTTCATGACACTGACATATCTTCATCTAGGACAACTGATTTTTTTTTCTGAATACATATTCAAGTCCACATTTGTATCTTTCAAAAGCTTTGACGTTTTCCTTGTGTGAGAGAGACATATTTTTTACCTTGATTCTTTTATTGTCATTATTTGAATTTTCTTTTTTATTAAATTTTTGCAATTTTTATGCAATATAGTTTGATGGCATTTACATCCCTCTCTACACCTCCCCCCACTGCTCGCACCCAATTTCATGAACTCTCTGTTTCTCTCTCTCTCTCTCTCTCTCTCTCTCTCTCTCTCTCTCTCTCTCGCCTATAGTGTACGATTTGTGTTCCCCAGTGTCCTTCAGTGTGAATCCATCCATTGAGCCCACCAAAAGATTTTATTTTGGTGTTGTTGCTGTTATAAATGATGTCTTCCAACTGGTTGCTATTGGCATGTGTGAAGGCTGTTGATTTGTTCATTTTATATCCTGCTATCTTAGTGAAATCCTTTAGAGTTTGGGTACATCTATCATTTCTCCTATTGGATTTTCCAAACATATAATTGTGTCCTATGCGAATAAAGATAATTTTCTTTTTCCTTTTCTAATTCTTGGGGCTTATTTTTGCTTTCTGATTGCATTGATTAGTAATTTCAACATGATGTTACAAATGTCAATATAGTAGGTACCCTTGCCTTGTTTTCATCTAAGTAGAAAAATCTATGGTGTTTCCACATCAAAAGTCACCTGTGCCAGGTGTAGTGGTGCATGCCTTTAATTCCCAACACTTGGGAGACAGAGGCAAGTGCATCTCTGTGAGTACAAGGCCAGCCTGATCTATATATAGATTTTCAGGTTAGTCAGGGCTAAACAGTGAAACTCTATCTTCTGAGAATGGAAGGAAAAAAGGAAAGAAGAGCAGAAGGAAAGAAGGAAGGAAGGAAGGAAGGAAGGAAGGAAGAAAGAAAGAAAGAAAGAAAGAAAGAAAGAAAGAAAGAAAGCCAGGATACAGTGGTGCATACCTTTAATTCCAGCACTCAGGAGGCAAAGGAATGCAGCTCTCTGTGGGTTTGAGGGCAGCCTGGCCTACATAGCAAGTTTCAGGTCAGCCAGGGCTATACAGTGAGACCCTGTCTCAAAATAAACCAACCAACCAAACAAACAAACAAACAAAAGCCTACTCGTATTAGGACTAAAGGATACATATGTTATGTAGTCTGTGTGTGTGTGTGTGTGTGCATTGTTTCTGTTTGAGTGTGCAAGAGTGTGCATGCACTAGTGCCATGGCGTGCTTATGTCAGATGTTGGTCCTTACCTTCCATCTTGTTTGAGCCAAGATCTCTTGTTCATTTTTGTGTGCTCCAGGCTAGTAGGCCTACATGCCTCCAGGGATTCTCCTGTCTCCACCTCCCATGACACATGTCCTGCCTTTTTGTGGGTTCTGAGGATTTGAACTCAGGTCCTAATGATTGCACTGCATGTGCTTTTACCCACCGAACCATCTCCCCTGCCTTATACTGTTCTTTTTTTAGTTTTGAGACAGAGTCTCATGTATCTCAGGCTGGTCTCAGGTTCACTATGTAGTTAAAGATGACCTTGGACTTCTGATCCTGCCCCTTTCCTCCCAAACATTGGGATTACAGATGTGTGCCACCATGCCTAATTTATATGGTACTGGGGAAGAAATCCAGGGTTTTGTGCATTCTAGGCAGGTACTCTATCAACTGAGTCAGCCCTGATTTTTTTCTTTTTAATACTTTATTTGTTATTTTTATTTTATGTGTATGAGTGTATTGTTTGCATGTATGTGAGTGCACCTGTGTCATGCAGTGGGATGTCAGAAGAGGGCTTCGGATTCCTCTGGAACTGGAGTTAAGGACAGTTCATAGCTTCCATGTGGGTGCTGGGAATCGAATCCAGGTCCTCTGCAAGAGTAGTCAGTGCTCTTAACCACTGAACCATCTCTCCAGCCCCTTGTTCTTTTAAATTATGACTTTCATCATCTAAAGCATTCATATTTTTCTTTTATTTAGCTTCCAGAAAAGCGCCCTACATTTCAGCAACTCCTATCTTCCATTGAACCACTTCAGGAAAAAGACAGGCCTTGAAGAAAAAAACAACCAGAATGCTGATGGGAATGAATACAAATGTTGGCCAACACTGTCGTTCTGTTTAAGGGAAGTAGCCAAACACAATGTAATTTTAGTTCTTAATACTGTTCTGTGTATTTTTTTAATCTGTTGTATTATCTACAAAGGAACAAAGTAGGAAAGAAGACATTTCTTTGAAATTTAGATCAAATTAGTGATTTTGTTTGTACTGCTCCTATAGAACACTTCCCAGTCTACAGTAAAAGTACATTTTCAGGTTGCAATTTAGAGAGCATGTGTATTATGTATAAAGATTGAGCAGAACTGAAAAATGATATATTGAATGCTCACTCTTTTCTATTGCCACTTGTGGTCATTAAATATACTTTCAAATACAGAAATGTGCGCATTTGCCTGCATGTGTAAATGATCTCAAACTTTAACAGGTGTGAGAGTCAAATGAAGAATTTATTAAAACATAGATTCCTTAGGAAGTGTCCTAGAAATTCAGATAAAGCAGGTCTGAGTGCAGCTTGTGAACTGGTATTTTTCCCAACCTCCCATTCATGCTGAACTTTCCTGGAGTACCTCAGTGTATGTCAGGACCCTGTACTGTGGCCCGGAATTCAATCTGAATGGTAAAATTATCATCTGCTCAATCTCTAGATTAGAACAACAGCACTTCATATCATCAAATCATGTATACCTATATAACACCAAAGCTAAATAATATTATTGAACAATGTGTTACATGTTTCACAGAGAGCACAGTTTATTATGAAAGATGCTAAGGGGGCTGGAGAGATGACTCAGTAATTAAGAGCACTGACAGCTCTAGGAGACAACCTGGGTTTGATTCCCAGTACCCACATGGCCACTAACAACCATCTATAACTCCAGTTCTAGGGAATCTGATGCCCTCTTTTGGCTTCTGTGAACATTGCACACACTTGTATACTTATATACCTGCAGGCAAAGCACTCATACACATAAAAACAAAATAAATTAATAAATAATTTAAAGATGCTAAAGTAGAATTTAATGCCTTTTGAAACATTAAAGTCTGCCATTATCAATTGCCACTCAATAAAACGGGTTAAGTTTTAGAATTAAAGACATCGTTGCTCTTTAATGATTTGAAATCAAATTTGGGACTTAGTACTTCTGGTTTATTTGACAGACAGTGGAAAATTCTACTTCTGTCTTCTGTCTTAACAGAAAGATATAGACACCGTATTTTAGATTCTTATGGCCATTATGAAAGTTATTTTCATTCTAGATGGTTCCTTGGAATGTTCACACTCGTGGCACACTATTAAAAACACCCAGGTTTTTATTTCTCTTGGAATGTTTCACTATCTTTTCTCTAATGTCAAGAAGACTGAAAGAAGCCAGGCATGGTGGTGCACACCTTTAACCCCAGCACTCAAGAAGCAGAACAGGCAGCTCTCTGTGAGATTGAGGCCAGCCTGGTCTATGAGTTCCGGGTCATCATGAGTTCCAGGCAGATGGGGTAATAGGGAGAACCTGTCTCACACATGAAAAAAGGCCAAAAGAAAGCTTATGTGAAAGGGACCACTACAACGAAAAGACACCCCAATGAAGCCCCCCACATCTACTTTTCAGACAGGTCAATAATCTCCTTAAGAGATGTAATCACCCCTTCTCAGGCCAGCCACTCCATCTACCTGCTAGCTCAAATGTCTCTCTTGTTTATTGGTTTCTTGACATTTAGTTAATGATTCCGTTATTTCAGCAGAGAATTCCCAGGGAAATGATATTCCATTTTTAACAAAGATATACAAATCTCAATGCATAACGAATGTATAATGAAGTGTCACTCTTAAAATAACCACTAGGGCATTTATAGAGTCATTCGTTCGTTTATTTAGTATTTTGTCGGTGTCAGGTTCTTTCCTACTTAACGGAAAAGAAGGAACAAGTAACATAATCCTTCCTTCTCAATGGGCCCGCACTCAGGTGTGATACCAGCCTTTCCTGCTCTCTGGGGTTTTGTGTAGCAGGGACCTACACCACATACTCTTAACCATTCTTTCTGGCCTCCCTCGAGATTATTTCCTTCATTGCCCATATTTTTGTGTATCTGATCTTCTAAAAATAAGCTGTTTAAAACAAAAATAATGCATACTGGTAAGCATTCAAACAATACAGACTTGTTTACTATGAAATAAGCCCCAAGCCTTCCTTGGAAGCCTGATTCCAAAGATCAAATGATGCAAAGATTTAAGGCACTTTTAGTGCTTTATGACAAAATAAGTTCACTTGTGTCAGGAGGAGCCAAATAAAGGAAGAATATTCATATTGTTTTAAAACATGCGCAATGCTTCTCAAAATGCTGTTTAACCATGTTTCATGGTGATATGCAGCATTTATTATTATCATCATTTTAAGCCAGGAGTCTATGTACACTCTCTGAGAAGTGAAGAAAAATGAAGCTTATGTGATAAGAAATGTTCCCAAATGGTGAGTCGGAGCGCAACTGCCCATAAATTATTTACTAGATGAAATCAAACAGCCTTGCTGAAACTTTCTGATCTTCCAAAACTCAAACACAAAGTCAAAAGATGCTAGCAAAATTCATGGCTTGAGTTAATTGAGAGAAAGAGTCCAACGTAATAGATTTAGAAAGTTGAGCTTCTCAGCTTTGATTCTGAGTTGGCAGTGTGAATATGAGGACGAGCGATTGGACCTAAGTTCCCATCTTTACCAAAATGGAAATAAGTGGATTTCAAATGTGGAAGAATAAGTCATTCAGAAACACCACGGAAAAGAACATTTGCACCTGTTCTTTCTAGCCCGATTATTCTTCCATTCACTTTGCTCCTTATGAAATAATTAAATTCACAGGAAAGAAATACTCAGTGAATGGCTTTAGAATGGCAAATGTCCCTCAGATCTCTGAGCTCCACAATGGCTCCTGCACATGTGCTGTATCATTGAATCCTTGCTTCCTTATATCCCACAAGTCAGTAACGTTTGGTGCAAAATGTTTTGAGGGCCATACCATCTCTAAGTCAATGGCTCATATCTGGCTTTATAACACAAAACCAACTCTAGACAGTATGAAAATTAATGGGTGTATCTGTATACCAATAAATTTTCATTTATAGATATTGAAATTTGAATTTCATAGCATTTTTGTGCATCATGAAATATTATCCTACTCTCCCCCAACCACTGAAAAGTAAAAAACTCTTTTTCTGTAACTCAAAACCGTACAAAAACAGGTTATGGGCAGAAGATGGCCTGTGGGTCATAGCTTGTCAGCTCCCATCCTATGCCCAAGTATAAGTACGAAGAGATTTATAGTCTCCATCCTCCTCTCAGAGGATGCTGTTGCATAGGAAAAAAACCACAACCTTCACCAGGTGGGTAAAGTGAGAAATGATCTGGAAAAAATTAACTTAGGGTGTGAGAAGTTTTTCTGATTTCTGGATTACAACTGGAGGTTGTGTCATGTGCCCATAGATTCTTTACCGTGGATGGGGAGGTCATTTTGAAGATGTTAAGTGATAGAATTGGTTCTTATAGAAGTTATTTTTGCACTATGTTGGGCCAAGACAAGCATTGTGGACTTTGTAAAGTGAATGTGATGGTACAGGGGACAGTTAGATAATGGCTGGCAGAATGGTGACAATGAAGTGAGAGTACAAATAAGGGAGAAATGCAATTGTCGGCTACCCCAATGGCAAGATGGTGGAGCAGATAGTGATATGGAAGATTGATTGGAGGGGAATGGCTCTCATGCAAGGATAAAGAACTCTATCTTTGTTACCTGAGTATTGTGTAAATGCAAAGATATTTAATAGCCTCACATGGCTTAGCCTGATTTTGATCGCCATTCTTCTGTCTTGGATAACCAACCATTACCATGGTCATATCAAATTTATCAAGTACAGAGTCATTCTAACATTATTCTGGTCTCTATACAGCATGATTTACTTGGTAGAGAGTTTGTATATATTAAGTTATTTAATGTACTTTTAATCAATCTTTAGATACGTATTACTGTTGCATTCAGAAGTAGAGTAGATCTGACAGTGTATAGAATCTGAGCACAATTCTTTTTGAACTGATATTAGTTTCTTTGTCCAATAAAGCAATATGAGAATTTAGGAAACCTACCAAGACATGTACGAGGTCAAAGGCCTCAGACAATCAAATCGCAATTTTACCCATTGAGTGAAAACCAGAAATAATAAACAAGAAGTCCCAGAACATGAGTACACATAAGACCAAAGGCGTATATACATCTAATAAGTATTTATTGAAGTCTGCTTTGTACTTATCATTGCTCAGACCCTGTGGGAGAACACAAAGGATTTCAGAAACCAGACACCCACTTCACAGAGTGAACATTCAGTTGAAGTTTTCATTCACTCCATGGTTAGAGAAGAATAGAAATGAGTTTCTTTCAGGCATGCTCTGGGTTCATGAAATTCCCTGTGCTAGTTGTGTATTGTTAGGAAGATGTTGGTCAAGCGCTTGGAAATGAGATGTAATGTCCTCTACCTGATGTCTGGCTTCTTGCTTCTTTGGATCTGTACCCCCAAAGAAAGAACAGTCCATTTCAAATATTACTGGGCGCAAATTAGTATAATACTTTGAATTAAGGTAATGTAAAAACAGGTTGTCCTCCATCCTTTACACTTGGATTAAAGTGAATGGTATGTACCATTCTCAGTCTCTGCAGCTCCACAAGTTCACACTACAGATTCCATAAAAATTCAACACTTGTTCCCAATTTACATTGTATCTTCCAACTCCAGTTATTAAACAGATGATTCCGTTTCCATTATTCCTGGACAGACTGTGAAGCCAAAGACCTACTTTACTCTAATATAAGCATCCCTATTAATAAACAGAAGAGATGTCAATTCCTAAGACAGAAATAAATATTGAAAACAATGCCAGCAAACATGCCCCATGTAATTCAAGTTCTCTTTGAACAACTTTTCCTGGAAAAAGTCACAGTTTTGATATTTAATGACATGTTTATAATCTCATATTTGTGTACCATGAAGTTAACATTTACATACAGGAAAATCATCTCAGGAGGAAAATGACAGACTTTTGTCTAAAATGAAGTCTGAGCATCATCATTGTTTTGGAATCCTGCATTACTTTCTCCTTTACCAATTTCCACAGAGGCATACGGGTTTTCTTCTTTTTTTGTTTGATTTTTCCTGTTAAGTAAAACAAAGTCACTTTAGTACAGTGGTGTTAGAAACTCACTTAACTAACCAGACTGATGAATATCCATGGTACCTTGGTTAAGAATGCTGAGTTGGAGAAAACAGGAACTTTCATAAACTGGTGATATGAGTATGCATATAAGAAGTATTTGTCTAAATTTCTTCACATTGGTCTTAATTCAGCTTTCCCACTGCTAGAATTTATCTTACAGATATATTGGCATGCCTAGGAAATTGCCAGTTTGAAAGGATCGTCTTTTGTTTGTAAACAGAAACATGTGCCAATAACGCAAGATTCCATCACTAGAGGACTGATTTACAAAATTATCACCCTGCCATAAAATGGGAAACTACATTACCAGGAAAAAAGAAAGCACTTTGTGCAGCCAATCTGGAAATATCTCTAAAATAGAATAAGAAATAAAAATGTGTAGTACACAGTTCACATATACTTTAAAATTTTTTAGTTTTCTTTTTAGATGGGGCCTCCCCGTAGCTCCAGCTGACCTGGAACTTGCTATGTAGACTAAGCCTGGCCTCCATCTCACAGAGATATGCCTGCCAGCCTGCTACTGACTGTCAAGTGCTGGTATTAAAGGTATGTACCTTTAAGACCTTTAATGCACCTGGCTCTTTAAAATCTTTCAACCATATGAATGCACTAGCTATTCAATTTTTGTGTGTATGTATGTGCATGTTCATATGTGTAGGCATGGGTGTTCCTATGCTATAGCGCATGTGTGGAGGTCAAAGAGCAGCCTCTGGTGTTGGTCCTCACCTCCCACCTTGTTTGAGACAGTCTCTTTGCTGTTTCTCTGCTGTGTAAACTAGGCTAGCTGGCCTGCAAACTTCTGGGAGTTCTCCTGTCTCTGCCTCCCATCTTGCCAGCTGTAGGACTGCTGGGATTGCATACACATGTTGACATGCTTAGAGTAATGTGGGATCTGGGGATGGAAACTCAGGTCCTCATGCTTGTGTGGCAAGTGCTTTTACCCATCTCCCCAGACTCAGTGTTTTTTTAAATAAAGTATTTGATGGAATTGAACACTTCAATATTGAAGAAAATTAATTGAGTAAAATATACTCATTCATGAAAAGATTCAACTGAGAGTGAAACGTGCGTAGAATTTTAGGTAATGTAACGTATTAATGATATAAATATTAGTTGTTAAATGAAAAACCAACAAAAATCAGTTCTTTCTCAAAGTCATGGGGTGGTGGTCTAATAGTAAATGAAACTAGGAATCAGGTCTCTAGTGATTAAAATCCTCAACCAACTCTGATATTCAAGTCAAGAACAAACTAGAAGATGCCTGACCATGAATTAAAATGATTAAGATGTTGAGCTACCCAAAGAAGAATAAAGATGATCAAAGAGTAGCAGTCTGAAGAAAATCCCAGGGTTCATTCTTAAGTAACAGTCCAGCTCGAATTTATTCCAATCCATCCTCTAAGGACGAAGCAAGACTCATCAGTGAATACAGTCCCTTACTGTGTTTGCAATGCCTCTTTGCAGTAAGGACACTGTGGATACCATGCAGTTTACTACCGCATGCTAATAAACCCCAGGCTAGACTTCTACTGTGTGAGCTTACTAGGAAGGTGAAGTGCTTATGACATCTGGCAAGTTTCTAAGATATATATCAGGACACTTAGATGAAAATTTTGTCCAGCTTAGTAATTGGCATATGTACATACATACATATTCATAAACATGTATATATATATATACAGTGCCATTTGCTGCTACACATTTTCTAATTCATATTTCCTAAATCTTTCTGTTTAAAGAGAAATAATTTGAGAAAAGAACACTTACTTCTTTCGACCTTTGATTCCAGTGACGATCAAGATAATGATGCCAACCACTACAATTCCCATCACAACTCCAAAAATAATCAACCATATGGTGACAGGAGGCTGATAAGGAGGTTCAAGTGTTGGATGAATCCCCAGAAACTCCAGGCTGTTATCATCCAGGTAGAAAATATCATTGATACGGCCCCGGGACAGCCTATTTACAAAAGCAAAATACAGTAAAGGGACACTTAGAACAGATAAAATTCTGTGTCATTATTTCCTCTTTGTATTGTAGTTCCCAAAACGATTATCATAAGAGCGTACACCTAGAACTTGGTGTAATAGTGCATGCCTATAATCTCTGCACCCTGGAAGCAGAAGGGAGACGACTGAACAAATCTGAGGCCAATCTGGTCTGCATAGTAAGATCTAGGCCAGCCAGGGGCACATAGAGAGACCTATCTCAAAAAAAAAAATCACAACAAAAAGTATCTGTTGTGATATCTCTCAACTCTCACCAGTGAAGCTTCTTCATGCAACAGAGTATTATGACCACAGAAGGCAACAGCTGACCAAAGTGTAGCAAATAAGAGGCTGCAGACAGTGTGTCCCTGGATAGGACCCCTATATTAACCTCACTCACCATTGCTCAGGGACCATTGCAGAAGATCGGGTGGAAAGACTGTAAGAGCCAAGGTTGGTTCATGAATATAATAAGGAAACAGAGTCTTCCAGGCCTCTGGGAACTTGTTCATATGAACTTTCAGCAGTGGTACAGCATGCACAAAACCCATGCAAACTCAACCAGACAAAAACCCAGCATGGAACTGGGGAAATGGATGGCAGGTCCCAACGTTAGCTGAAGAACTCTTGGCAGCTGATTACTGCTGGGTTAGGGGAATTGATCTTCTTTAAGGGAGAGGCTCTAGATAGGCTCACTAGACTCCAGCGAACTTGCACTGAGGGAGATCTGGGCACACAAACTTGACTAGATAGGACTTAACATATATGATAGAATGCATGAAATCCAGGGGGGTACGTGGGGGATGTGGATGGGGGAGGGGTATAAAGATGATTAAGATGTTTTGTCTCAAATGCACAAAAATCAATAAAAATATACTTTGAGAAAAATGTTTACTTAAAATAACAATAAAATCAAAGTTCATAGGTCCAACAAAAAGAAGTGAATTTTGGACAGTTATTCATCTTTCATACTTTGTAACCTAAATTAGGTCTGTCAACAACCTCACTCAAAGTTTAGAAGAAATTTAGAAATAAACAAACAGTTGGTATTTGATCATTTCTAAGTACTGTGTTTGCAAGGCAAAGTTAGCATATTTGGCAGGAATTTCCCATCTGTTAAAGTGTATGTAAAATGATCTTATAGTAAATGATGGGAAAGCGTATGGTACACCCCTCTTCTATAAATGAATCGTGTCCTATATCCAAGAGTTTTCCAAATGAAAGTCATTGGCATTTGGAAACAGCATTGAAGAGTATACAAGAAAAAGACCTCTGTGAATTTCCCCAGCACTGAGATGGTAAGTGGCTAACGTTAATGAAGTAAAAAAAATGAAGATTATTAAAACAAAAACTGAAATGGGGAACAGTCTGAGTTGAAGACCGAAGTGACTGGCATCACATCCTCCTCTGCATGGTCATAACTCAGATCAGGTCACATGCTACCAGAGAGCAAAAGCAGTCAAAGTGGAATCAGCCATAACCCCTGGCAACCTCAAGGGTTCATTTCTCAAGTCATTTTAGAAACAAAGAGTTTGAGATCCCCTGGAGCTTGGAGCTGGGTATTCAGAGAGTAAGGACATCTATAAAAATCTCAACTCTGAGCAGATAAAGGCCTTCTTGGAGGAAGAGAATGAATTTCTGGACATGATTCATTCCTACACTCCAACCAAACCAGAGTTTCTGGGCACACCCTGTCCAGCAGGTATGATCTGCTTCCAAAGGTAAATAGGATTTGCTGATATAGCTCAAGAGGGCCATCTAGTGAGATGCCAGGCACAGGGAGTCTGTTAAGCATTTCCTTTTCACGGCAGAGAATCATCTATAAGTTTCTGACAATGATAACTTTCTTGATAACATGGAATTTATCACCTTTCAGCCCTTCTCCGTCTCTTATGCATATTTTCCTATTAGTGCTTCTTGGGACTGCCTCTCAAATAAACTATATTTCAGTGTATGTAAAATGGTCTTATAGTAAATGATGGGAAGGACCTGCCTCGGGGGACCTTGTCTAAGGACCTGCCCTGTCTAAGGACCTGCCTCAGGGGAATCCCAGATTAGGGCAAGTCATATGCTATTGGATTCTTCCAGAATTAAAATCCAATTTTGTGGGGCTGAAGAAATGGTTCAGTTAGTAAAGTGTCTGTGGCACAAACATGACCACCTGATTTTGGATCTCAGCACTCACATAAAATGCTGGATGTGGTAGTGCCTGCCTGAAACTCCAGCACCAGGAGTTGGGGGAGACAAATGGATCCCTGAAGTTCATTAGCTATCCAGTTTAGCTTAATTGATGAGCTTCAGGTTTAGTGAGACACTCTGCCTCAAAAAATTAGATGGGAAGGGGTCAAGCAAGAAAGCTGAAGTCAACCTCTGGCCTCTATATGTGCACCTGCCATGTACATGTGGACATACGTGTATACATCCCTTCACAAACACATACAGCACACACACACACACACAAAACAAAAATTTTTGGATGAGGTAAAACATGTAAATCACTCAGAATGATGTCCATCACACAAAAAGACTACACTAAATATACATTATTATTACACTGATTAACCCCTTCATCCTTATATGGTTTGTTTGAAAGTCAAATGTCACCTGATAGACTGTTCAACTTCACTTCTAGGAATGATTTCAGACACGTTTTTAGGTGCAGTGACAATGAAGTTGAAAGAGATTCTTGGTTTCACATCACTCACCAGAATATTCTCCTCCCTGTGAAGAAACAAAAGAAACATCTTCCCTTCTTGCACAAAAAGCACAGTAAAGAAAATGACTACTCCTCCTGCTGGTGGAAAAGAGATTAGGGAAAGGACCCTAGGATGGAGAGGCACAGGGCGGGGTAGTGCAAGAATATAATTGTCCAAGAAACATTTACACTTCCCAAAGCACCTAAAACCAACTACATAAAAGTTATAATATCAAGAAATAAAATAATATTTTATTTCTGCTGTCATACAAAACCCATATGTTTGATTTTTTAATATTTTATTTACTATTTTTATTGTATGTGGAGAGTATTGCTTGCATGAAAGTGCCCCTGTGTTGTGCAGTGCCCACAGAGGTCAGAAGAAGATGCTGGATTCCTTGGAACAGGAGTTACAAAAATGGTTGTGAGCCACAATGTGGGTGCTGAGAATCACACAGTCTCTGGGGGCATTGCATGCATGTGGTGCGGTGACATACATGAAAACAAAACACTCATACACATAAAATAAAAGTAAATCAATCCAAAAGCATTTTAAAAGCCAACTGAAAGAATCAAGACGACCAGGAAACAATAATTTGTGACCAAAGATTAGGAAAACAGTGGGCAGTGATGCCTCGGTGCTACACACAGAGATGGGGTGGGTGCTACTACTTCCTAGCCTGGACCCACCAAGCAAAAAAGTATTCTGTTGCACCCGTGGGTGGAGGTAAAAGTGAAGATTACTATACAATGTGACAAGGCCATGATCTCACAGTTGCCAAACTGATCTAGTAAAAACTAAGGCAGATCATGTGGCTTTAATCCTTGAATATACTCCTTATCCCTCTTCAAATAAAAGCTAAAGTCCTTGAAATGACCTCAAGGCCCACATGAACTTTCTTTGCTCACTTCTAGGAACCCACCCTGCCAAAACACTGTCCTGGCCATATCCCTCACTTGCCCTCTAGTAGACACTGCCCAACCCGTGCTGGCCTTCTTGCAGTTTCTTTGTCAGACAGTGGATATTACTTCCTCAGAGTCTATGCCTGCTTTTGCCCTGGCTGAATACTTTCTCCTATTGTCTGCACTGTAAGCTTCTCTGCTTCTTTCGCCTGCTTCCTGCTTTGTATACTTGCTCAAACATTAGTGAGTTCTTTTCTGACCAACTTGGTTAAAATTGAACACTCCCCAGCCTATTTTATCCTCCCGTCTTATGTCCTATTCTTTTTCTTCCTATCACATATTTCCTCTCTCTCTCTCTCTCTCTATATATATCTCTCTAAATTTTTTTGTATTATGTATAGTGATTTTCCTTTCAGTTCCAAAGATAGTGTAAAAACTTTTAGGGAGGGCAGGGGTGTTTAACAGTAACAATGTTTTGTCATCTACCAGTTAAAATATAAGCATCCTTAAAGGAAGTGACCCAATTTCCAGGATGCTGACTGAGTTTATTTAGCCCATGTTCATAAAAGCAATCCCAATTAAGCTCAGTGAGTCACAAATAGACAAAAAAAAAAGGAAAAAGATATTAAAGTATGGGGGTAATTTGTTGGAAAGTAGAAGGGGTTCAGTGGGAGTGGGATTAATAGGACAAAAATACATTATATACAAGGATGAAATTGTCAAAGAATTCAAAATAAATTTTAATATAATAAAAGCTATTTGGAAGTCTAGAGAGATGTCTCAGCAGTTAAGAGCACTTGCTGATCTTGCGCAGGACCTGGATTCACTTCTCAGTACCCACATGGTAATTCACAGGAGTGGGTTGTACCTCCAGTTCCAGGTGATTCAATGCCATCTTCTGGCCTCCACAGGCACCAAGCATGCACGTGGTACATACACATACATGCAAGCAAAACTTTAAAAACTTTTAAAGTCATTTGGAGATTCTTTTTTGTTTCACTTGAAGAAAGTTTAAACAGAATATCTCCTCAGGCTTTACAGTAAGGAAAATGTTGGCTATAGAACCTAGCAATCAACTCACCCAAAAGGAATTGTCTGGGTTTTGACTTCTAAAAAATACTTTCTCATGGCGTATGCAATAGATGATCGGAACAGGTACATTTCATTGTCATTCCATTTGTACTGCAAATTCAGAAGATAGACACCGCTCAGTAGGGAGCCCAAGACATATGTGAAACCTGACAGTCCTCAAGCACTGCCATTACTATTGCAAGGATTCTCCACGAAGCCAGTACCCTCCAGTGTGACTGTGAATCAACATTCAGTGGAGGGGTGCTTAAAACACTGACTGCTGGGCTGCACTCTAGAGTTTCTGATTGTGAGAGTCTGGCATGAGACCCAAGAATTTGCAGCTCTACTAAACGACCAGGCGGTGCTAGTGCTGCTGGTCAACCATCCTTGCTTCAGGAGCCACTGGGCCCACTGGTTCGTTCACTTGAGTTTGATCAGAATGGAAATAAGCACCCTGTGGACAGGTTTATAGATGGAAGATAATGAAAAGATTCCAGGTTTGCTTACAGTGTCTTTAAATTGTAGACAAATAAACCTAGCTTACTGTTTTAATAGTAGGTTTTCAGATATTTCAGCATGCATGATAGTGCATGTTGTAATGTCAGCACTCTAGAGGTGAAGACAAAAGGATCAGGAGTTCAAGGCCAACATTGGCTACAGGGTGAGTTGGGGGCCAGCCTGGGCTGTATAAGACCATATATCAAAAAGAAGAAGGGGGAGGAGGTGGACAAGAAGAAGAAGAGGAGGAGGAGGAGGGAGGAAGATGAGGACGAGGAGATGGAAAAGAAGGAAGGAAGGAAGGGAGGCAAGAAGGAAGGAAGGAAGGGAGGCAAGAAGGAAGGAAGGAAGGGAGGCAAGAAGGAAGGAAGGAAGGGAGGCAAGAAGGAAGGAAGGAAGGGAGGCAAGAAGGAAGGAAGGAAGGGAGGCAAGAAGGAAGGAAGGAAGGAAGGAAGGAAGGAAGGAAGGAAGGAAAAATAAAATGAGGTTTAAACAAAAAATATATTGTGAACAGCAAAATAATGTGTTCTTGTTTTCCCATTTTACATGAATAGTTTGATGCTTGCACAGCCTCTGGGGGAAGGGAGAGATTCACTCTTTCCTCCAGCAGCTGGCAGTAGAGATCAATAGACCACACAAGATTTAAGTTTCTCCTTTTCCCTTTCAGAAAAGAAAAATTGTAAGATCTCACAAAAAGAATTGTTGTATTACCTTTAGCTTGGCTTTACTCAGATTTGGGGAGGACGCAATTGCTTTAATAGTGACAATGGTGTATCGTTACTAGTCATTTTCTGGTTAGTACTTCCATACTTTAAAACATTTAAAAGGTAAGTTCTCAAAATAGGGCCAGAACTCCAGTTGATGTTCACTATGAAATAACTTGAACTGGGCAGATATTCTGGAAGTACAGTTCATTCAGTGAATCAGCCGCAGATCACTATAATATCAAATCTGCTGAAGGCTGCTTGCATGAAAAAGGAACATGAATATAAAAGTCAAAATAAGAGAACTAAGAAGATTCTTGATCAGTCAGGAGTAATTCCAATTTATCAGGCCAATGAAGAGCTAATAAAGGTAGGACAAAGATTAGTAATCTCTTGGACACTCAGTGCACTTTAAGAAACAGGACAGTGGGCTCATAGTCGAGAAGCAATAGACTTCTATTTTATCATTGCTTTATTAAATTTGGGGGGGGATTGGTCTTTTTTTGAGACAGGGTCTCCCTGTAGCTCCAGCTGCTCTGGAACTCACTAGGTAGAACAGGCTGGCCTTGAACTCACAGAGATCCACCTGCCTCTGCCTCCTGAGTGCTGGGATTAAAGGCGTGTGCCACCGCATCCTGTTGCTTTATTAATTTTTATTTTTATTCCCGTATTATTATTTTGGTGCCATATTTATGTATAAAATGATACTAAAATTACTTTTGAGTCTTGGGGATATTTAACTTCTCAGGAAAAGGATGGGTAGAAACTGAACCTTTGGATTGATACAATGAGATAATTTTCTGTAGCAGCTTCAAATGTTTTATCTGATTGTCCCAAGTTGACATCTAAACCTGCAAAGCCTTCGGGTTTCCTTGACACACCCAGGCCTTTGATCACCATCTACCTGAGACTATCTGTCTGCTGCTGTTTCCTAATCAAAGCTATTACCGGAAGAGAGACTCTGTGGAAAGAGGAAGGGAAGGAGCATAACAGAGGGGTGAATGTGATCAGAGTACAATATGTACATGCACAATAATCCCATAATGAAACCCATTTGTGTTTTATATATATATAATATATACTAATAAAATTGCCCTTTTTAAAAATGCTACTATTTCCCATACTTTCTAGTGCTCAAGTGAGAGAGGTGTTCAGGAGAGAGAAATAGCTAAATGTGTAAGTAATAAGATTTTCTGTAAAACATTTTGTCACCGTAAAATGCATTTCTAATTTAATGGTTCTCAAACTTGGCTCTACTTAGAATTGCCTGGGGAGATTTAAAAAAGTTTAATGCTCAATGCCACATCCCAGAGCAATTAATCCAGTACCTCTGTGGGTAGAGCCTACGCATTTATATTTTGAAAACTTCCCATCTGACTCTAATGTAGAGCCAAGTTCGAGAACTGGTATTCCAATTCAGAGTTTCCCAGTCATTACTGTGCACGCAAACTACCTGGAAGGCTTACAAAAATGCACATCCTGATTATGCAGGTTCAAGGCTGGGGCCTGAGTTACTACATTTTCAATAAGCCTCCAGATTTGAATACTGTTGGTCTATGGACCATACTCTAAATAATACTAGAATGCAGATGATTAAAAAAACAAAACTAAATAAAATCCTAAATCAGCATATTGCTTTTGAAAACAAACAGCCCTTCAACATATAACCATGTCCTCTCCCTTGAATATAAGTAATAGTGATAAGAGTCTCTTGAGAAGATGGGTATTTGATATTTAAGGATCAGTACAGATATTTTTACACAGCTCTTCATAACACATTCAAGGTAAAAAGTAAACTTTGCCTATCTGATAAGGAATGGGTTACAAGATAAAGGATAGAAGGAAGAAAGAAAAGATAGAGGAAGGAAGGAAAGAAGGGAGGGAGGGAGGGAAGGAGAAAGAGGGGAGGGGGAGAGGCGAGAGGGGGGAATTCTAAAGGTCATATCTGGAGCTTATACTTTTGAAAAGAACCATTTGTCACTCTTCATTTAAACCACACTGGAATGGATAGCAAGGGACGAGAATGTACTGAAAAATAGAGTAACCACCCAAATACTCACTGCATTTTCTCCAAGAGCTGACTTTAGACTTATCCTCACTTTAATGCTTTGGTCAGCATCTGATAAAAGAGAAATTGCAGATAGCTGATCTAGATGACAGAATGAAGATATGTTTTCATTTTATGTATTTAAAGCAAAATATTTTTTAAAGTACAATCACAATTTTTACAAAATGAGAGATGATGGGTGATGGATAAATGCTTTCTCAAGGGACAGGACATCACGGCCCGACGTGTACACAGAAGGGATTACAGGCTCAGAAGGAGTTAGAGAATCCCAGAGAGCGTCTCAGATACAACAGATGTGGGAAGAGGAGACTAGGAAATAGGAGTGCGGGTGCGTTTAAAGCTACTTTCAGGAACACTTGTTTCTGTATCCCATCACTCCTCACCCTGTTATCCTTTACTCAGCCAACTGGAATTTGTTCTCCAACAAATAAGAATTAATCCCAGAAAGAAGCTATGGATTCCAGGAAACAGTAGATTAAACCCAGAAGATCCAGGAGATGTTTCTGAAGGATAAGTATTGTCCATCTTATGACAGGAGTATGTAAAACTCCAAGTGGGAGTTTCCAGGAGGGAAAAATGGAGGCTGTAAAGAATAGGTATGTTGGAATGATTGGGAAAAAATAAATGCAATGTTTGGTGGCAAATCAGGTATGTCAAAACCTTGAAGCAAGTAGAAACACTAATCCAAACAAGTGGCATAAGAAAGGATATAGCATCATGTATTATTTGGCTGTGCAGGTGACAATAACATAGATACTTGCTTTACGAAAAATCCTGTTAAAACTTTATTGAGACAGTGAACAATAGGTGGAAGGCAGGTAGAAGAGAACATCTAAAATTGACTGATAAGATAGAAATATTAGAAAATTTTAGAAATATGAAAGTAGCTGCCAGACAGAAGAGGAAATGGCACTGAAGTTGTTTACAGACTTTGTCTTAGAAGAGCAAGATTCAAGTACAATGACCGAGTGCTATACTCTTATTGTGAACTTGAGACTCATAATACTTGAAACTAGCAGACTGTAAGTGAGGGGAGACATACTCAGCTGTTTCACAGCCCCCACAAGACTGAAGCCAAAGGACACCAGGAGAAGTCAATGGAACAATGCAAAACGTGTGTACTTGGTGAACTCACATGGACTCCAGTCAGTGCTCCACCCCACGAAGGAATTCCTGTTCTGCTCTTTCAGCCAGACGAGCAATGGCTCAAAGTAGTTGAGGAGAGGCCTTACATCCATATTCCTTGCTCCTACCACATTTTCCAGTGCTAAGGTCCAGGGTTCTGAACTTCCAAGACGCAGCATATTCCTACATAAAAAGACAGAGTTCAGGGCTTTCTGAAGGATTCCAAATGAACATACATTTGTATCTATGATCTGTACTTTTTTTCTTTAACTTAGCAAATTTTCTCCTGGCAGATTAGAAAAATAAGGCATATTATCAGATGGATTCAAGCCTCAATCTCTCTTTCCTCCCAACCGTTCCAAAGAGAGCTCTGTAGCTATGACATAGAGACAGTAGGTGGTCCATCTCATGATCTAGTTTCCCATGTGATTCCAAATTAAACATTTATTTCATGGTTGACAGGAGGAATTTTGAAGTCTCAATTTTTCTTTTGGGGGCAAATAAATCAAATTAGACATTAGTCATATTGGATGCTAGGAGAGGTTCAACATTTCAAGACGCTTCTTACAAGAGTTTCTGCCCGGCTTTGGTGGAATTTGAGATGTCACATTGGTGCAGGGGGCCTACATGCTCAGCTGCTCGACAAAGGGCTTCTTGAAACTGGAATTGGTAAATGGTCCTCGTGTAATATCTGTACAAGAGACAAAGAAACAAGCAAAAAGAAGTCTCACATTTTGTCACTGAATTGGATGGGGCATATATTTAAACTCCAGGCCCATGTAATCCCAGAGATACTAGCTAAAACTCAGTGTCCAGGAAGGGCCAATCATTAACTCTTCGGATTCATCATAATCTACTTGTATATTATGCACCCACTGATAAACAAGGCCCTGTTGCTACTCTATTAAAAGTAAGCTCACAGCCGGGCATGGTGGCACACGCCTTTAATCTCAGCACCTGGGAGGCAGAGACAGGCAGATCCTTGTGAGTTCAAGGCCAGCCTGGTCTACATAGTGAGTTCCAGGACAGCTGGGGCTACAGGGAGACCCTGTCTCAAAAAAAGATTAAAAAAAAATAAAAAGTAAGCTCACATTCGTACTGTTGTCATAGATTTGGGGCACTTTCCTATAAATGATGCTGAACTGATGCTTATGCCAAGTGAGTAATATTTCCATTTTTACAAATACAGAAAGTGAGGCCCAGACATACCTGCATCACAGCATTCAGGAGGAAGATCATGAGTGTAAGGCCAACCTAGGACATGTAGTAAGCCCTGGTCTCAAACAAACACCAAAAGAGAAAAACAAACAGCAACAGAATGCTCTTTCAGTATATAGTAAACTCTGCTAATAATGAGAAGACAGATTCTTCTCATTGCTTTTATTTCTCCAAATGGTCCTATATATTTATAATATCAGAGAAGGGCTCTCACACAAATTCACTTAACATAATAAAGTGTGTCTTAGGAGCTGAGAAACAGTTCAGCAGTAAAGAGCACTTGTTGCTCTTACAGAGGACCAGGGTTCAGTTCCCAGCACCCACACAGCAGCTAACAGCCATCTGTAACTCCAATTCGAAGGCATCTAATGCCCGAAGAGGCCCCCTGAAGGCACTGCATGTGCACGATGCATTTGCATACGGACAGGCAAAATACTCATACACAAACTACTCAAATAAAATAAAATGCAAATATGTTGCATTAAATTGAATTGAAATTGGTCATCCTCATTGAGCTTGGAGTAAGAGATAAGCAGAGCAAAAAAATTATCACTTCATTGAACTCTATTTCTTTCTTTGCTTTTTGTCATTAGCACAGCCCACCCTTAAATCCTAGAACTTAAATAGAGAAAAGTGTCATTTACCGGATAAATGAGTAATCATTAGAAACATGGAAGAGAGATGCAGGGTCGCAGTATGTTTCATCATGAGGCAGAGGCTCTACCACTCCGACGATCTCTCGCCTTTGGGAAGAAAAGGGAAGCATATATCAGTTGGACATTAACATCATGAAAAGGGGGATTTGAGGTCAAGTAGAGCAGTTTCATCAGACCATATGATTTATATTGGAATTGGTTGTCAGGTAACATAAAAACAGTGTAAAAATCAGAAAGTCAAGTCTCTCGTGCATTTATTTCTTATTATTTTAATGCATCCAAAATATGCCATTGGAAATAACTATATTCTCAAAACATTAAATCAAGAAAATTCATAAAGTGCATTGTATGGCTACAAATTAGACAATGAAAGCCCTAGAAATTCCTCTCAGACATCACCCTTTAGGCACTTCTGGCAGACATAATTTTGTGAAACTGAAATGTTAATTCTCCATGGCTAATCTGAATACCTCCTCTTCTGTGAACTCTGACACCCACCTTCTAACCCCTCATGCTCCCTCACCCTTCTGTGTCCCCTTTGCTATTTCTCTCCCTGTGTTGAAGATTTTTACAATATAGCTCATTCTTGCCCTGGAGACTAGTTCTAAGAGGATGGAGCTATGTCTTGGTCGTCTTCGTAGTTCTAGTGCCCAATATTGTGCCAAACACTAAGAAGAGACTTCACTTCTGTTTGGTAAATGACTAAAGGAGCAATTACTTTAAATGTTTAATTCCATGTTTATTTAAAATAAATTAACAGGAATCCAAGAACCAGCCCAGTCAGAAGAAAAGGTAGAGAACCCACATATTGGACATTATTTAAAAGGATTACAGTTTTGACCTTCCTGATTGTGAGGTTTTTGCAGGCAGCTTTAGACCAGCGTCACAGCTTCAGTTACACACAGGCACTAGAAACACCCCCGGTTGATTACACTTTCCTTTTCCTGTCTTGCCTCTTGGAAAAAGACTCCTGAGACAATATCCTAGAAAATTATCTCAGGAAATGTTAGCAAATGTGTAAGGAGGTAAGAAAGAAACGCCTCCCCCCAAAATGAATGTGTTATCAGTCAAGTCACTACTGTAACTCATCTGAGCTTATTCCCACAACGAAGCTCTCGGATTTTTAAGTAGACGACTCTCATAAGAGCTGTTCCACTGAAGAGGAGGGAGTCAGGGTATTTATCCACCAAACAGCCTATGAGTCGTTGGTTGAAGGTTGATAAGGATGGCATTGGTTTCTTAGCCCCTTGCCATATGTGGATTCAGGCGACCTTGGGAAGCTCTCAAGTATGAAATACAGATACCAGGAAATTATTTTTTGGTGCACGCGAGTGTGTGTGTGTGTGTGTGTGTGTGTGTGTGTGTGTGTAATATGTACAGGCCAGCCAATTGCTTTTAAGTAAACAGTAAACACATGTGACTGTTTTACTGATTGCATATTCATTGACTTACTTCATTTCCCACCACTTTTTCATCCACTCCTCTTTTGGAATTTCACCCTTAAAGACCATCCACCTCCACTTCTCTAGCATGTAAGTAAATGGTAGAGTTCCAACAATTGTCAGTGCTTGTTTGAGTAGGAAGTTTATTTCTGTTTCTGAAAGTAAATTGGAAAAGAAAACATATTAAGATGAAAATGAAAGAGGAAGTTCTGTGATAGAAAGAGCTTCCCTAATCTCAAGCTAGTACTCCTCAAAACAGACTTAGTACAGGATGATTGCATGAGAAATATCAGCAGTAGACATTTTGACACTTACTTACCTACCTACCTACCTACCTACCTACCTACTTACTACTGTCTTACTTATATGCTTTCATTTTATGTGTATGAGTATTTTGCCTACATGTAACTGCACCCATGTGTGCAGTGCCTGTGGGCACTCGAAGAGGGTGTCAGATCTTCTAGAACTGGAGTTACAGATGGTTGGTAACCCTCATGTAGGTATTGAGAACCAAACCTGGATCCTCTGTAAGAGCAACCAGTGCTCTTAACTGCTCTTAATGTGTGTGTGTGTGTGTGTGTGTGTGTGTGTGTGTGTGTGTGTGTTTCATTCATCTTCTCAGATGAGGGATTTGGTAGTGTCCTAGAATAGAACAGGTAAGCAAAAATCCACAAGTTAATGCTAATCCTTACTTTTTACTAGTTTCAATTGCCTTCTTTAAATGTGCCTTTATCAGAGTTAATTAGGGCAATCTCATCTATTTTCCTAGTCATGCTGTTTATTCTTGAGATCTCCACGTAGGCAGTGACTGTTAATGTCCCATTCAAGACTGTATACCTAGTCCACTGTCTGCTCCATAATGCTCTGTGAGTCCTCGGTAAATACGCAAACATTAAACAGATGTGGTGAAAAGCTTGTAAACCAAGGAGGGGAAATTTTTAACAATATTGTACTATTACACAGTAGGTTGGCTATATAAATATCAACAACGTATTGTACATTTCAGAAAGTTATAAGAGGTCTAGGGCTATAGTTTGGTGATAGTGTGCTTGTCTAGCGTGTGTGAAGCCCTGGGTTCTGGTCCCAGGACTGAAAAAATAAAAGCTAAAAGAAAGGACTATCGAACAGTTTCACTATAGGTAAAATAAGAAATGTTTGGAGAGATAGTATGTTTAAGTGATTACACAATGTATACATGTATCAAAACATGTTACTCCATTACCATATGCAACTTATGTTTTTATGTATTTGCTACAAATAAGCTTAACTAAAAAAATTTAATCAATAATTGGGCCTCCATCATTCACTGGAAGATCAAAACTGCCATGTGCTTTAAATATACTGATATCGCCTTTGTCAAGATGAAATTACCCTAATTAAAATGCTTTTACAAGTCGCGTAACTTATTTCATTAGCCTTTATTAGTGAGATAAAGAGGCAGGTGGGCTCACTTCTAGCACACCACAGAAGGTCACTAAAATGCAAATGGGGAGAATATTGTCTATTCTGCACATCACTGTATCTCTAGAAAACTACCTTGCACACAGTATGTGCTCAACAAATATGTGTAGAAAGGTAAAGATCCAGATATGGTGGCTTATGCCTGGAACCCCAGAACTTGGGAGCCTGAGGTAAAAGGATTGTTTTGATTTCCAAGACATTCTGGGCTACAGAGTGAGACCCTGTCTTTAAAAATGAAACATACGAGAGAGAGAGAGAGAGAGAGAGAGAGAGAGAGAGAAAGAGAGAGAGGGAAATTAAGAAAAAAGATGTAGGAAAGGAGAGAAGAAATAATTTATTAGTTTAACATCATTTACAAATCAGGCTGGGAGCCAAAGAAATGAGCATTTTTCAAACTAGTGGTTTGTGTAATATTGTAAGAAATATACTGATTTCATCATCTTTGCTTACTGTCAAGGAAGATTTTAAAAGGATAAAATAAATTAGTCTGCTCATTGACCTGAATGAATCAATTTTCTTTTCTAAAATTGTATTTATGTTTATTTTATGTGTGTGTACTGTCTGCGTGTATGTAAGTGTACCCATGTTGTGCAATGCCCATGCAAGACAGAAGAGGGAGTCAGATGCCCTGGAACCAAAGTTACAGACGGCTGTTAGCTGCCGTGTGGTTGCTAGTATTCAAACCTGGGTCTTCTGCAAGAATAGCCAGTGTTCTTAACTGCTGAGCCATCTCTTCAGTCCCATGAATCATACTTTCAAATGAGGAGGCAGGTATAGTTACTCTAAATTGCATCTCCTCTGTTGCTGTCTTCATCAATAAGTACCAGTATTGGTCTACAATCTGCCGGGTCTATGTTTATGGTGCCTATTTCAGACATGATGATGATTTTCCTATGGCCTACTATGGGGCCTTTATGAGATAACCAAGGTTCTACAGCTAGAAATCAAGAAAACGTGAATTTCCACACAAGAATTGAGGTCATGACCTTGATCTCATTGACCAAATGTTCCAGCCAGCAGAACCAATGGTTATATCAAACCCAAATTAAATGTACTGGACTACAAACAAACAAAATTACATGAAAATAGGAAGGAGATCTGTTGAGAAACAAAGAGTTTGGAGGGAGAGGGGAATAGGATTAGAGAGAATATGATAAAAAATATAGTAAAAGAATAAATAAAATTAAAAACAAAAATAGATAAATTACAAAACTTAAAAAATAGTGAAAACAGAGAGTAAGGAATTCATCGAAGAGACAGAGGTATTAGGCTGTAATGATGCTTCTTTCACAGAGCCAATAGCAATGTCACTGAGAATCTGGATCTCCTGAAAATTTGTTGTATTCCAACAAGTTCAAGCCATCCAAATTCAAATGGGCTGTCTCAGGCAAAGATGGTAAGAGACAACATGAGTCTAAGGGGATGTTGGGAAGCAAACTGTACTTGTACTAATTGAACAAAAATTTTTGGTCACTTCTAAAGTTGATGCTCCATCGTGTATTCTTTAAAAACTCCTGGACTTGAAGCGCTATTTTGCTTTGCATAAAATTATGGGAAAGGCTTTAGATTGGGGCTCTGCTTCTAGATCAGTCACTGTGTAGCTTTTTGGCTTATAAACTACTTTCCCTCTCTTCAGGCTGCATCTTTGTAAAATGGTTTCAGAATATCTTCCAGCTCTAGCATTATGTGGAGTTTTAGCATTGAACAAGAGCTTTGTATTCAAAAGTCAGACACTAATTAGCTGCGTAAATTTAGACATTCATTGCATTGCCTCTCTTATTCCTTGTTTAAAATACAAACTGTCTTATTTCTTCAGTCCTTCAATTGCTTCCTTTGCTGTTGAGAAGCCTTTAAGTTTAATACAATTTCATTTTTGTTGTGCTTTTCTGTTTAAAAATACTTTCCCAGAAAAAAAAAAAAAAACAGACTGAATAGGCACAGTGGTGGATGCCTTTGATCCCAGCACTTGGGAGGCCAAGCAGGTAGAGCTCTACGAATTTTATGCAAACCTGGTCTGCTGAGAGAATTCCAAGCCAGCCAGGGTTACATAGTGAGACTACCTCAAAAAAATTATTTTATTTCAATAAAAGATAAAAATACAAAGTCAGCCGGGCGTGGTGGCACACGTCTTTAATCCCAGCACTCAGGAGACAGAGGCAGGCGGATCTCTGTGAGTTCAAGGCCAGCCCGGTCTCCATAGCGAATCCAGGCCAGCTGGGGCTACAGGGAGACCCTGTCTCAAAAAGACCAAAAAAAAAAAAAATACAAAGTCACAAGTTGGCATACTCTAAGACACACTTCAAAAAAAAAAAAAAACTAAAACAAATAAACCTTTTACTAGTAACAATGTTCATAACCATTTTATACCTTAGGTGGCCTAAATCAAAACAAGTATTTTCTTATGCATGATAATAAATACCTTTTCCTATAACATATTAATGAACCCCCAAATAAGCCAAAAGATAATGTACCATTATCATCACGAAAATCTGATGGCAGAAGACCAATGGACTTCAAGTGCTGAGGTGTAGCTGCAGAAAGTGACATGATTTCCCCCACAGCTTCATGGAACCCCTCATTGGCTCCATTTCGCAGCAGGAAAGGTTGTGTGGCATATGCCATGTCATACTGGATGTGTCCCATCTCATGATGGGCTGTCAGGAAGTTGTCCATGGTCACCTTTGTACACATCTTGATTCTACACAAAAATGGGCAAGATTAAAATGAGTCTCAATTTTCTTTAATCACTACAATAAGGTATTTTGGGGGGTTGGTAGCATGAATTCTCTTTCCAAGTCTTATTCACAATAGAATTTTGAGTATAGTGCCTCTTACGTCTTTATGTACCAGGTTCTCAACCCAAAGTAAGGAGCAAGGCTAAATCTTATTCTCCTGTCCACACACTAACAGAAAGAACAATAAGCATACCCTGTGCTTCAAAACTCTGGAACAAGTGCTGTGTATGGGGGAATCAGTAAAAGTGGCCTGATGTACAACAATGAGTGAACACTGGCACTGGCATGTAGAAGCAACGTGTGTAGCCAGGACAGAAAAGGGGCTGGAAATTGAAAGTTGGGAACCATTAGAATGTAAGTCCCGGAGTAGATGTAATGATCCAAGAAGCCGGTGTAGAGTTCTAGAAAGCAAGAGGGCCAAAGTCAAAGCCTTAGAAGTTCCCAGTAGCTAAGAGTTTGGGAAAGAAGATGCCTCAGGGTACATGGATAAAGCTATCAGAGACATCAGAGGAATCTGGAAGACCATGACAACACAGAGTTCAATGAAAAATGAAATTTGATATATAACAGGTAAACATTTTCTAATGCTGTTGTGGTTCAATGGGGTAAGAACTACATTTGACAATTATGTGGTGGTCCATTTCCACTTGGCAAGAGCATGCTTGTTCAGGTGTGGGTAGGGGTTATATTTCAAAAGGTTCTCAAATGAATTGTCCTGACATTTGCTCATGTGACCTTCCCACACTGATAAATACCCTTTAGGGATTCCCCACTGCTCAAATAAGCTCAACCTTTATCCACCCCAATATGACCACAACTTTTTCTAATTTATTTCTCTCTGTTCTTTTTGAAACAATCATAATAGCTAGTATAAATCTACTATCTACTGGATATAAGTTTCTAAACTAGGAAGCTTACATACAGTTTCTCATTTTTAAGCCTCTCTTGGGACTGGTCAAATACAACCTGCTGCCTGTTTTTATAAATAAAGCTTAATTGGCATACAGCGCTGCCCATTTGTTTATGGATTATCTATGATTGTTTTCATGCTACAAGTGCAGAGTTGACTAGTTTCAACAGAAATGGTCAAATTCCACATTCTTTACTGGGCTCTACTCTAATGGGTGCTGGTGGGAGCAGAACTCATTCCACTGGTAGATTCACCACCTCCCCACTGCTTGAGTGATAGCTACTAGGACCAAAAGCTACTTTCTTTTTCACAACTTTAACCAATGGGAATGTCTCAAGGGAAAAATTATGTCTCTCCATACTTTGGGGGTAGTCCATAGCCGATGGCTCAACAGTAGAGGGTAGAAATAAATGGCCAGCACTTTGTCTACAGGGGTGACCAATTCTGATTCAAATCATGTTCCAGATAAGTTCATGAGATCAGGCCTGAGCCAAGTTTCCAGAACATATTGCCCCCTTGTTTGCCCACTTGCCCTGTTCCAGCTTCGTTTCCTCAGTTCTCTTTGCCTGAGTGATCTCCCCCAATGAAGCACTTGTAAAATGTTTCCACCTCAAGCTAGAGAACTCAAGACACAAACCTGAAACCTGGGTATTACCATTCTGCTTTATTGATAAGGAAACTGAAACCCAAGATTACCATGTTCAAGGTTACCTAATCATTATGAGACACACCTTGGATTCCAAAGCCTATGCTCATTCTGCCACATCACAGACTATTCAGCACATAGTTTTTGTTCTAGCCTAATTTGCTGACTTCAGCATCCACACCCGATCCCTCTGCTCTTCCAAGCTGCTGTCCTCGTACCAGTTGTCTGTTCAACCTCTTCATGCATTTCAAGTTCAATTCCAATGCCACCCACAAAGCTCTGTGGGATCCAGTCTCCTATGCCAAGAGTGGCCAGTTCTCTCCCAGTTCCCCATAAAGCATTCCTTGTATCTGTCTTAAGGCATGTGCCATTTTCACCCTTTTATCCCAACTTGTTATTCACTTAACCAAGTTCACTGACAAGAGTGAATCACAGAGGACAAGATCGATATGTGAATCGCATATTCATCTGTCATAGTTTCAGCACCAAATCTTTCCTAATAGTGGCATCACTGACCCTGTGACCATGAGACTCTAATGGACTTATATTTCAAATGAGCCACATTGCCTAAAACTGCAATTTGGGACCTATGGACAATTTTCTTTTCCCAGGAAAAACAAATCTACTCTTGTGGACTTCAAGAATTGGTTCAAGGATCCTTAAAGTGTATGCTCAGAGAAGCAGAAAGGGAATCTTGCCTTCGCTGTATTACTTTTAGTATCTGCACTATAAATATTAGTCCAAATACCTGAAGTCGCCCTTCCCCAGGTCCCAAGCTGTGGGGTGGCAGACCACTTGCCGATCACCTCCTGGCTCAGTCAGCATGGAGTTTTCCCAGAATCCTTGAGTCATTTGAGGTAGGTCAACAGAAACAAAGAATTTCTCTGCCTCTTTAAATATCCTTTCAGCACCCCAACCCTGAGAGTGTGGGGGAGGGGGGAAGAAGAGTAATTAATCCCTTCAGTAAAATAACAGCATGCTTTCTGTTAGATATACACAGTGGCATAACCTTTCCAACAGACAGTTGGACAATATGGATCGACACCTTTTTAGTGTTTATATTCTCTGCCTCCACAGCTCTGTCTCTAGGGTATTAACCTAGGAAATTATTAGAAATTAGGTCAAAGAATTACACTGAGTATGATTTTTTTAAGCAGGAAAATAGGAGAGAATCATCAGAATGGGGAAGTAATGATACTTTTGTAGAATGAAAATTATGCAACCACCCAAACTGTATTTAAAGAAATTATATTGATGTTACAAAATAGAATGAAGTAGTAAGTGGAAAAATAAAACACACAAACTACTCAGATGGTATGAATCTTAATGAAGTCATACAAGAAAATGTTCATAATAGTCTGAGTGAGATTACATGTCATAATTTTTGTCCTTTTTCTTGGGGTTTTTGGTATTGTGGGGTTTTTTATTCCAGTGCTGGGAATCAATCCCAGGGCTTTGCATGTGTTAGACAAGCATTCTACTACCTTGATATATCAGGTGCTTGTGTCACTGGTGAAGTTGAAATAGACTCTGAAGCTTTTATCAGTGTCAGTTTCCTGGTTCTGATACTGATATTATAGGGGGATACTGGGTACAAAGTACACCCAATCTCTTTATAAATTGCTTTCAATTTTGTATGGATGTACAATCATTTCAAAACAAAAAGTTTTAAAAAGTAAAAAAAAAAGATAAATGTATCTACTTCTTCATGTATTATTTATTTATGAAAACACATTCAAATTTTTCTTCAGATTTATCAAAATATACAGTATGTTATCATTACCTACAGTCACTGTACTATGCAACAGCATGCCAGAAATTATTTATTTTATTTATTATTTTTATTTTATGTGTATGCATGTATTGCCTGCATGTAGGTAAGTGCACCCATGTCATGCAATGCCTGTGGAGGTCAGAAGAGGCTGTCAGATCCCCTGGAACTGGAGTTACAGACAGTTGTTAGCTACCATGTGGGTGCTGGGATTTGAACCCAGGTCTTCTGCAAGAACAACCAGTGTTCTTAACTGCTGAGCCATCTCTCCAGCCCTGCCAGAAATTCTTTAAATAGTCCAAACTTAGTCTCCTCCCTTCCCTTCCTTCATGCACTCTTCAGTGTCTGGTAACTATCATCCTACTCTCAACCTCTATGAGATCAACATTTTCATTCTCACATATGAATGAGATCATATGCTACTTTGTATGTCTGGCTTATTTCACTTAACATAATGTCCTCCAGTTCCATCCACGCTGTGACAAATGACAGGAATTCATTCTTTTATGACTTGAAAGCATTCCACTGTATACAGATGCTACGTTTTCTTTATCCATTCATTCAGTGATAGACATTTAGATTGTTTCTATTTCTTGCGTGTTGTGAATAATATTCTAATTAACGTAGAAGCATTGTCTCTTTAAAATACTAATTTCATTTATTTTGCATATATACCCAGGAGTGGGATTTCTGGATCATATGTAAGTTGTATTTTTAATTTCTTGAGGAAGTGGCATGCTGTTTGCCATAGGGGCTATACTGAGGTGTATTCCCAAGTAACTGTTGTAGGGTTCTGTTTACCCCATATCCTTTCTAGTTCACCCTGATTTTTGTATTTTTGGTCAAGTCATATCGCATTTTGTTTTTGGATTGCATTTCCCTAATTGATGACGTTGAGCTTTTTAGTAGAACTATTTACTATTTATTTACCTTCTTTTAAGAAATGTCTATTTAGGAAGATTGCTCACATTTTAATGAGGTTATGAGTTTTTGGTATTGAATTCCTTATATATTCTAGATATTAACTCTTACCACATGTTCTAAATATTTTCTTCTGTTTTGTGTGCTTTCTCTTCTATTTTTTTATTTTTTATTGAATTTTTCTGTATTCATACAGAAAATCATCTTTATATCCTCTTACCCCTTCCCCTTTGGCACCTTCCCATAGCCCTCCTACTAGAATTCGTACATTCTGTCATTTGTGTTAAGGCTTATTGTGTCAAGTTAGTGTCCCCAGAGTTGTCTCTTGTTGTATTGACTACTTGTTTTCTTTGCGGTGCAGAAGCTTTTCATTTTCATTTAATTCTATTTGTCTGCTTTTGCTTTTGTTTCGTGTGCTTTGAGCATCTTGTCCAAAAATTATTTACCCGTTCTGGTGTCAGGAACAATTTCCCCTGTTTTTCCCTGTGTCATAGTTTCAGGTCTCACAACTAAATATTTAACCCATTTTGAGTTGATTTTTAGAACAAGTGATGGACAAAGGTCCAGTTTCATTCTTCTGTCTGTGAACATCAAATTTTCCCAACATTGTTTATTGAATATATTGCCCTTACTCCAATGTATGATCTCAGCACCTTTATTGAAAATCAGTTCACTATGGACACATGGGTTTGTTTCTAGGCTCCCTATCCTGCTCCAGGGGCATATGTGTCTGTTTTGAATTTTATCATTTTGTAGCATGATTTGAAGTCATTTACCATAATACCTTTTGCTTTTTACTCAAGAATGCTTTGTTTTGGGGAGGGGCATTGTAGTACCATAAAAATTTCAAGACTTTTTAAATATGGTCCTCTTAAGTATAATGAACAAAACAGCACAGATTGATAAGTGTAATCAACATTTGTTGAATGAAGAGTGAACGAATAGAAAAATGGAATGGAAACAAGAGAAGTTCTAAGTCCAGTTGTTAGTGGCTACTAACTATCTTTGTGACTTCAGGAAATCATATACCTAAGCCTGTTTCCTCATCTACAGCATGGAACTATCATATCTGTCCTGACAGTTTCAGAGGGTTCTATAACATTAGAAGAGCAGCAAATATGAAGTTAGTTTGGAAGGCAGCTATGCTTACCACTGTACCACCAAGTGAAGCCCCTCCAGAAGGGCTAACAATTTAAATAAAGATGGGCACCTGCTGCTACTCAACTACAAATCAGGGCTAGAACAGCTTGCAGGAGCTTAAGGCTTTCCAGCTTTGCGTTTTTAGTCTTTCTGTGAACTTTTCCCAGTATTGTGTTATTATGTGAAGATAGTCATTTCATAACTACTTACAAATGGAAAATAATTAATAAATAAAGGTTCAGCATCATATATATTCAATTATTATGTGACCATCTGAGGAAATTTTAGAGGTAAATGGAAGTACAGTCATTCTAATTAGACATGTAGAATATAACTGAATGAAGAAAAACACCTAACTGAAATTATAACATTAGTTCACTGATGGAAGATAACATAACTTAAACAATTATATGAAGATAGGAAGAAAAGGGTGATATAAATGGTTATTATAATATTTGAACAATAATTACATTTAAGATACAAAGTAGACATCGTTATCTGTTACTGTTCTTAGAGATGACTAACTGACTAGTTGGTAACGGTTAACATTGGAAAGTGTGATGCTGACCAGTTGATAATTCCACATCTTATTGCTTAAAGGAAAAATCAGGTCATCTCAATTTTGAATACCTCTCAGCAAGGCAAATATCATCTTTGGTAACTAAGGTACTTGAGATTATTGACATTATAAACTACTTTTTCATGAAAATACATAAGAAATAAATTTACATTAGGTTGAATTTTTATTGCCATGATTTCATACACACAAAGACAAGAACAGAGGATAAATAAAAGGAAAATGAAGTTGAAATTCTTACCTGCTGCACCATTGCATCAGTAACATCTATGTTTTGTTTCTGTCCAAAGGGGACTGTCAAAGGGTATATATTTGTCCAAAATCTACCCCACATATCACCTATTTACAGAAAGAATACATTAATATTTGACAAAAGTAACAGAAATACAGATCTGATCTTTCATAGTACAGGAAGTTGGATGGGCAAGCCAGCCACTCGGTATTTCTAAACAATCAAGTTTCTGTGTTCCCTTTTCACTACTTCTGTTTCCCCTTTGGGTTCTTCTATAATTTTAAGCTTCCAGCATTTTCTTTTTATATCTTGTGTAAAAATAATAAAATGGCTAGTGATTTCTGTGGTTAGGCAAAGCTTGTTAGGGAATCAACACAAGTAGTACTGGAAGGCACAATTCAGGCAAGATATTGTGGCTCATTCCAGGATGCCTAGCACTTGGGAGGATGAGAGGGGAGGAGCTCAAGTTCAAGGCCAGCCAGGGTTGCATAACATGTTCTACTCCTGACAGGGCTATATATGTCTCAAACAAAACAAAACATATAGAATATCATAGCTAGTGTACATTAAGTTTCTAAAAATCCACCACAAATTCAATGAAGTGCTACAAATTAAACTATTAATACCTAGTACTGGATTCAAAAAAGATCATATAAGATCATCATTCAAAAATTTCTATTAACTGATAACTAGGTTTCACTTTTATTACCATAGTAATACACTTAACTAGGTAACTTATGCATCTCCAACAATGTGAAATTAGAGTCCAAGGCCACAGATTATAAAAGGGAAAATGGACCTAAAAAGAAATGTAATAGCAAGAGGAGAATTCTGGCACCAATGACATTAAGAGTATTATAGTGAATTCATTTTTAGTTTTTTTATTTATTATTATTATTAGTTGTGTGTGTGTGTGTGTGTGTGTGTGTGTGTGTGTTCATGTCACAGCACATATCCGGAGTGGAGGTCACAGGACAGTTTGGGGGAGTTTATTCTCTTCTTCTACCATGGGTTCTGAGAATCCAGCTCAGATCATCAGATTTGAATGGTAAGCATTTTTACCAGCTGATCCATCTTGCTGGTTCAGATAATTTATTTTTTAAATCTACTTATTCTATGTTGTAATTTAAAAAAAAAAGTTAAAACCTCATTCAATTTTATGTCTTATAAGGGTTATACTGAGTTCAATATTGTATAACTGTATTAATTTAACTGTGAACCTCAAAATTTACAGCTAATTTTGAAAGAGAAGCATCTTTGCTCTGGAAATTGTTATTGAATATGTTAATGCTGTAATGAAATGCTTCTAATCATGTGGTTATTAAATAATTAAAAAAATGAAATTTGATAAAGATAAATGTAAAGTCCTATACTTTTAGATCTAAAAGAACTTACCTTAAAAACAAAACCCAGCAGATAATAAAAGACCAAAAATGGTCCAAGAACAGCATGTCATGTGTTCTACAACAAATAAGACCTTTAGCTGAATTGATAAAATTATGGCATCTAGAGCAAAGACATGCACGGTACCATTTTTACCTCTATGTCAGTAAAACTTCATCTGGAATAACTCTTCAATTCTGAGTTTGGCAATTAAAGTGGGGCATGGACAAAGGGTAGCCAAAGGAAAAAAAATTAGAATACTAGGATTTTAAGAAGTGGTCGAATATCTATGTATGATATTTAACTTGAAAAAAGAAAACAATATACACAATGATGGGAACAGTAGTGACTAGACTGAAATGAAGATATAATTTTGTGCTAGTTATGACTCTGTGTCTTATGTGATAGCTGTTCACATATGTCTGGAAGGTCATCTTGTAAAAAAAGAAATGACATATTTTGAGTAATGCCGTAGCATGGAAATAACCATAGTGAATGGAAGACGTTAGAGAACTGCTGACAAGCCACGGCAGCTTAATCTACCTTGCGAAGAAGAATGAGCCCATCACATCAGAAAGTTTAAGCAAAAACTAAATTACCAAATAATGCCTTCCAAGGACATTGTAGAGAGGATTTCTATATTACATTAAGGTTAAAATTTTCTGAAGTATTTTTGCCCATATTCTCTCCTGCTGGTAAACATGAGGTTTATCTGTGGCATATGCTAAAGACAGGTGACATGAAATTTTCAGGTATTTCTACTTTATTTGGCCTTGGCTACTGGAATGGAAGAGAGAAAGTGGCATTCTTCTTCATTCCATTCATTACTCATGTGATTCCAAAGGGAGTACTTCTCAGAAAGATTGATGGGGACAGTTGTGGAATTTTGTAATAGTCTCCATCTGTCCCCAAAAGAAACTTCTAAGAATGGTGAGAGCTACACTTCTCTGAGAATATAGATATGTATTTAGAATATAGTAAGAAATTACATTGGTCTAGGAAAGTGACAGTAGCAGAATCTTCCCCAGGATCTATGACCTCTCCAGACAATGGGCCTTAGGTCCAATTAGATAACTGTCGATTACCCACAATACAAAAGTGCCACTGTTACACCAATGTTACAAAGTTCCAGAACTGGCCAAACACAGAGAATAAATGACTGTGAGGTGTCCAGTGCTAAGTGACACATGTACAATGGAGCCCCTACACTCAAGGCTCAGGGAACAATGCAGAGGAGGAGAGCAGAAAGAATGTAAGAACCAAAAGGACAAGATACCTGCTGTTGGTTAATGCATTCTAAGCATAATAGGGAAGCTGTACCCATGAAATCTCTGCAGTATGGTAGCCTAACAAAATCTGTATAATGACAAAATCAGTTGAGATGCCAAGGTGGATGGGGAGGGGGTCAAGGGGCCCCTCCTCAGGATGAAGAGCTTCAGGCAATCAGTGGATATTGAGGGAGGGACAATCTGTTTTCTCCAGGGACTGGCTCCCTGAGAGTTTAATCTCAAATGGGCAGCCGTAAACACAGGTACACAGGAGTACCACTAAATGGACTCAGTGCATTATATATACATACATATAGATAGATATATATGTATTTATAAATGATAATAATCAAGGAAGAGGATAAAAATGGAGAGGGAGTAGTTGAACATGGGAGGAGTTGGAGGGGGACTGGGAAGGTTGGGAATAATGTAAATACAATGCTCATGTATAAAATTCACAAAAAATAAAAATATATATTTAAAAATGTATTGGCAGTCTAACATGAACTCATGAAATGTTTTCCTAGACCATATCTTTATCCTAGAAACCTTTTCTCTCAGTTCTGAACACTTGCAAACTACTGAGTTTCTTTCCTCTGACAATATGACATTGAAATTCCAAACTCTACCTCAAGAGTTTAGTCAGCCTACTCAAATTCTAAAAGCTATTTTACACACTTCCACTCCCAGTTTTACTTATAATTCTTTCTTTAGTTACCAACCCCTTGCCCCTCTACATATATGTATGATAACTTTAAGAATGATTTCAAATGGACTTTCTCATGAAAGTGTGCTTTCAAAATGAGTTTTATTCATAGAAGTAATTAAGATGACAAAAAACACAAAAGATTCTTGGAATTTTTTTTACCAAGTAAATGAGCAGGGAGGCATCCAGTTGGACTTATACGGGAAGGGTAGGCATCCATCAACTTTGTTCTCACATAGGCATGGAGCTGTTCATATAATGGCTTAATCTGCAAAACCCAGGAAGAAAGTTTAAGACCAATAGTAGCCAACGTCAGTTTCTAATCCCCAACTCTAGAAATATGAGTTTCTTTATACAAGGAGAGAATTTCCCTAAATTGTTTCTTCATCTCTCAAATATTCTGGAGAGTTTGAGAACATTCGTTCTTCACAGATATTGATTCTAACTAGTGCCATCACATAAAGCAATAAAAGCACTTGGAGGAACACAGGACCCCAAATGAAAGTTGATGCCAAAACATCATTTTAAAGATATTATGTAATTCTTTTGTCATAGGACTCTCTCTTTCCCATAAAAACTTTCTTAGTCAAAGGCTGATGAAATAATAGTATCAACTGTCATGATGAAGGAAGCAAAGTCTATAACTCTGCTAAGAAAGGAAGACATGACTGACTATAGGAAGCTCACTACCTTAAAGATCCAGGGGGTGGGGGGAGGAAAGAGGAGCAATTCTAATCATCAGTAGGAACTTCCCATAGTTTTTTCAAAACATTTTCAAGGGTCAGGGATGTAGCTAAGTTAGTAGAGAGCTTGCCTAGCATGCCCCAAGTCATGCATTCAACCCTAGCACTGCATAAACCAGGTATGATGGCTCATGTCTGTAATCCTAATACTCAGGAGATGAAGAGAGAAAGATTGGGAATTCAAAGTCATCCTTAGCTTTACAGTAATTTTGAGGCCAGCCTGGGATACATGAGACCCTGTTAAAGAAAGAAAGACAGAGAAGGAGGGAGGGAGGGAGGGAGGGAGGGAGGGAGGAAGGAAGGAAGGAAGGAAGGAAGGAAGGAAGGAAGGAAGGAAATCTTTACAAGCTCTAATACTCTATAATTTTATGAAAGCTGAGAATGGCCCATTCATGTGTTTAAAACAACCCAGAGTACCTCTAGTTATTGGGCTCCTTCCTGTGTACTACCCCATAGTTCCTCTCTTACCTCTGCGAAGGTACGTTCCACATCTTGAATCAACTGGTTGCGGTTATATTCATAGCCATCTGCTCCCTCTGCTTCATAATCCCCTCTCCAATAATCCCCATAATCTTCATAATCTGTTTTTTTTTAGAAGAGAAAGGGGGGAAACATAAGGAAATCAAAGGGAAATTACATTTTACATAGATTAGTTTTGGTGGGAGGGTAAAAAGCATTCAGTTATCACATTTTTACTGCCCCTTCAGATATCAGCTCAAAAGAATTTAAATGAGAGGCTGGAAAGGCGACTCAGTGGTTAAGAGCACTGGCCGTTCTTCCAGAGGACTCAGGTTCTGTTCCCAGCATCCACACGGCAGCTAACAACTGTCCATAACTCCAGTTCCAGGGGAATCCAACGTCCTCTTCTGATTTCTGCAGGCATTGCACAACACAGGTGCACTTACACACATGCAGGCAATATACTCATGCACATGAAATAAAAATAATAAAACATATTTTTAGAAAAGACCCCCCTCTCAATAAAAGATTCCATACATGAGTGAGATAATGCAGCATTCTTCTTTCTGTTGCACTTATCTCTCTTAGCTTAATGTTATCTAAGTCCATGTTGCAGCAAATGACACTGTATTCTTTTTAAGGTTGAATGATATTTTATCACATATTATAAATTTTATTACTTACATTCGATTATATATTGTAGAATATTATTATAACTAAATATGCACATTCCACAGTTTCATTATCTATTTGTCCATGGACATCTAGATTATTTCCATATTTTGACTATTGTAAATAACACTGTAATGAGTGCAGGTATCTTTGAGTACATGCCCAGGACAAGGATTACTGGATCATATGTTAGTTCTAATTTAAATTTCTTTAAGAATCTCCAAACTACTTTCCATAGTGGCTATACCAATCTACATTCCTACCAACAACTTAAGCTTAGAGTAGTAAAACTCAGTTTTCCAAAGTCACAAAGCTGGTAAGGGGCAGTGTTCTACTCCTAATTTCCAAACTCTTTATTCCTACTCTCTCCATTGTTATCTTTAAAACATGCAATTGGGGAGCTGAAGAGATGCCTGAATGGTTCATAGCGCTGGCTGCTCTTGCAGAGGACCTGGGTTCATTTCCCAGAACCCACATTACAGCTAACAACAATCCCTAACTATCATTCCAGGAAATCCAATGACATCCTTGGGCATTTCATGCATGGGTGCACTTACATGCATGCAGATAAAGCACTCATACATATAAAATAAAAATAAAGTAATAGAAAAATATATTTAAAACATGCAATTCATCCCTAAGTTCTTAATTCTCATTTTGTTTGGGGTCTTATATTTTCAGATATAGCCAAACTGATCTTTGACACTATGACAACTATCCTGTTTGATTTCAAATTATATAGGTACACGACATATCTCTATGTGTTTTATTTGGCATCTGATCATCACTAAACACAGCTTGCATTAAAGTATTAGCTAACAAGGTTTTCAAATGTATTCGGATGGTTTTGTTTTTACATGTACATTGTTAATGTATGATCAGCAAGATGAGGAGAGAAATAAATATTTGGATGGAGGATATGCAGGATATTATTAAAATGGATCTTAAACCACTGTCTGGCACTTGCTTGAGGCTTGAGAATATGAATTTAAGTGGCAATGGAAGAAATTAGAAATAACAAATGAGAAATACATTTTCCTTATTTGACCCTAGGACATAGTGAATCACCAAAGCATGAAGTGATTCATAATACCGTGACTTCAGCCCATTATATAGATAAAATAAAAATTTAAGAGCGATAAAAGCCCCTTCCTATGTTGGGATTTTATGACTGAGTTATTACAATGACAGAAAATAAGAATTTTCACCTAAACTAATTGGATGGTGGCTATTTTTTTTCTTCCTGAGATATTCTGAGGTAGACATACAAATGAACTTTGAGAATTTTCACCCAATGAGGGTTTTGGTAACAGATATTGTCTTTGCCTCTCATCCTGTCTGGAAAATAGGATCCCTACTCAGCCTCAACATTGCCTTGGGTACCTTTTGGAGCCTGAGAACTCCATAGATAACTCATAATCCACTCATTCCGAATAATGCATTTGAGACTCTGTAGACAAGAGCGTTCCAATGCACTTTTTTATATCCCGGTTGCTTCTTATTGAGACAGGTGACCTGAACTGTCGACCAAATGATTGCTAATTTAGGAGCATCCAAACAATACAGGGCAATCTTGGCAATACCTAAGAAATAATCTCATAACCCCATATAGAGCATTGGAACCTAGACAAACCAGGAAACTTACTGTTCGCTCTTGCCATCTCATTCTTCAGGACCACATACTCTTCATATAATGGTCTGAGCTGCTTGCCAACCTCAGCTCTCCAGCCTTCCCATGCCCAGAGCCTCTCGTTGTAGTCTGTGCTTGTTGCCATTAAGTCATCCAAACCTGTTGTCCCAAAGGACCCAAAAGAAAATGAACATGAATGTGAAAAACTTTTAGTTGTAAACAATTTTACAGACTTTAAAGAATTAAGTATCAACATGCACAAGACCCATGCAAACTCAATCAGATGAAAACTTAGCATAGAACTGGGTAGGAGGCCCCAACCTTAGCCAAAGGAGTATTGGCAATTAATTACTGTTGGGTGAGGGAGAGTTGATCTTCTTTAAGGGAGTGACTCTAGATAGCCTGACTAGACTCTAGTGAATGAACTTGCACTGAGGGCCATTTGGGTACAAAAGCTTGACCAGCTAGGCCTTAACATATATGACAGAATGCATGAAATTCAGTGGAGTAAGTGTTATGGGAGGTGCAGATAGGGGAGAGGGTCTAAATATAATTAAGATGTATTGAATGAAATGCACAAAAATTCAATAAAAATATACTTTAAGAGTGAAAAACAAAGGTTTGGCAGGCATCCAGGTCATTAAATTAAAGGTCATAGTTAATCTTTTTACACCTTTTATAGGTCCAAGTGTGTCTGCAGGAGGAAAAAAGGGGGGGGGCACTGAAATAACTTAGTTATTGGCTTGATTAAATTACTTGAATATAATAGAATTTACAATGTGTTTTTAAGTTAAAAGAGTATCTATGAGGGCCTGGAGATTTGGCTCAGTGAGTAAGGGTGCTTGCTCACAAGCATGAGGATCAGAATTCAAATCCCCAAAACTCATGCAAAAAGCTAGCCATGGCTACACATGCCACTGTGATTCTATTGCTGTGAGGCGCAGATACAGGAGAATTGCTGGGGTTTACTGGACACCAGTTTAGTGTTAGGTTCAATGAGAGACCCTGTCTCAAGGGAATAAAGCAGAGAGGGATAGAGCAGGACATTTAACATCTTCTTCTAACATCCAAAAGTGTATTGAGTGCACACACTTGAACATACACCAAACACACACATGCACACACACATACACATACACACACACATACAGAGAGAGAGAGCAAAAAATAAATATGAATCTTTAAAAAATATTTTATTTATTTTTTATTTTATGTGTAAGAATGTATTGCCTGCATGTATTTAAGTACACCTGTGTGGTGCAATGCCATGGAGGTCCAAAGAGGGCATCAGATCCCCTGGAACTGGAGTTCCAGATGATTGTTAACCACCATGTGGGTTCTGGGAATCGAACTCAGGTCCTCTGCAAGAATAGTTAGTTCTCTTAACCACCTGAGCCATCTCTCCGAGTCCCCAAAATAAATATAAGTCTTCTTAAAAAGAGTATCTGTGAGCTGAAACACATATTTAGAATGATATCATCTTTGTATTACCCATCTCCAAAGTGATATGTCATCATCAAAATAAATGTTGGGCTCAGGAGATAGCTCAGTCAGTAAAGTGCTTATTTTGTAGTGTGAATGCCTGAGCTCAGTCCCCAGAACTCACATTAAAAGACAGATACAGTGGTGTACATTTGTTATTCTAGCACTAGGGGCAGAGAAAGAGAAAATCCCTTGAGATTGCTGGCCAGCCAATTTAGCCTGCTTGGAGAATTCCAGGCCAGAGAGAGACCCTCTCTCAAAGAAAACTGTGATTGGTGCCTGAGGAATGACACTCAAAGTTGTCCTCTGGCCTCCATGTGAATTTTCACACATGTGCACATGCACAGACATGTACACCTACACACACACACAAACATGCATACGCATACGCACATAAAAAAGTCAATCTCATTTTTAAAATTCAGGAAAAAAATTTAAATTTCATAATTGCTACTAAAAATTAATAGCCTACCTGGTTCAAGTAATAAGCATTCCTGTGGGTTATTTGAGCGGCACACTTTTCCAGTACTGTAGATGGTGCTCATCGTATTTAGAATTGTGTTCAACTACAAGTTAAACATAATAAATAGTGGTAGAAACAGAAAATGTGCTAAAATTGATACTAACATAAAGATATCTTTTTGATCATGAGACTTTTAGATGCTTCAAAATATAACAGTTTATATCTTCTTTGCCAAGTATCTTTATGTAGGGAAGGAATAGCTCTTGTAAATTTCTCCACTGTCAAGTAGTACAAAGTCTTGAAATAAACAAATCCATCTAAGCCCCCAAGAATATTTCTCACCTATGCATACATTGAGATCACATTTCTGTTTCTTTAGATTCTGAAAATTCTGAACTAAACAAGTCACTGACTCAAAGGCCTCAAAGTCATGGGACAATAAGGCAACCCTTAAATGAATCGCTACATAATAGAATGACAAGTACTGTAACTATGCCACTAAAAAGTGATGTGGCAGAATTGCCTGAGAGGTGGAAGGGAGGTGTAGAAGGAAGAGCATTTATAACCTGGAGATTCAGAAATGACCTCAGAGAGGAGGCACCTTTAGAGTTATATGTTCCAGAAGTGGAACTTGATCGGGTAGACAAAAAAGGAGAAGGCAGATGCTAAAAGATGGGAGGTGGAAAAGACAAGCCATTTTCAAGAATCGTTGAGATGACTAAAACCCCAGTGATGGTGTTCTCTGAGAGAATTGGAGGCCTTGAGAATGGAGAAGCTACAGAATCCAGATCACAGGGGGCAATCTATGCCACGGTGAAGTATTAAAACTTTACCCTGTAGGTAAAGGGGAGTGAAAGTAACTGAATAACAGTGATGCTCAGAGTGCAGTCCAGGGGTTGGTGCAAGTCAGCAAAAGGAACAGAGAGAATACACGTGTAAAAGTTCCAGGACAGCTGGGGCTACAGAGAGACCCTATCTCAAAAAAAAAAAACAGAACAAAAACAAAAACAGCGCCCCCAGTCAAGCCTTCTCCCACCACTCGTGTCCTACCTCAAAGCTTTTCTCTGCCCACTAAGCCTACCGTTTCTGTCTTTCGCTCTTACTCTGTACACAGAGAAATTCTGTGCACAGAGAAGTTAAATATAATTAAATAAAACTTAAAATTTAGTATTTCAGTCACATTAGCTACATTTCCAATACTCAAAGCCACATGTATCTAGTGCGGCCATATTAGAAAATGTTGATCTAACTCTGTCAGTTCCACATAAAATTTCTGATTTCAAAATCTTGACTTCTTTCTCAGTATTATATACATTTCAGTTACTTAGCTCATCCATAGCACAAACAGCTTCTGGCTGTGCACCAACCTCAAGGTAGTCCCTGCAGTGTGCTGTTAAAGAGCCAGTCCATGCTCTAGTTGTTGCAGAGCAGTGGGAAATCAGAGTTTTCCTCCACTGATCTCTCCAGCCCAACACTGCTCTGGCTATGCTACAGGCTACCTAACTTCCTAGGCCTCAGGGGACAGCTTGTGGAAGCCCATCTTGTACACATTAGAATTATTTGGGAATCTTTTAAAACTAGAATGTGCAGATCCCACCTAGGTTACAGTAGGCTGTCTAGATTCAAGCAAGGTTTTTCATGCTATCCTTGTGAACAAGAGATAGAAAAACATGGACTAGACAAGATAAGATAGATTAATAGCTTAGTGGAATAATTAGACCCAAAGAATGCAGAATAATAAACATCAGCTTGTAGGAACAAATGCCGTATGGCTTTATCTCTGTCCTTATCATGCAATTTTGTTTTTATAAATTCAGATTAAGACATACAGAGTTCCAGAGGATAAGTAACTGAGAAGGGAGGCTTTGATGTGAAAGAGCTGAATATTTTAGATAAAAATATTTCAATAAGCTGCAAACTATGGTCTTTTGTGTTTTTGTAAAGTTTTGCTGGAAGACAGCCATGTCCATTCATCTATGTATTATCTATGGCTGACTTCCTGCTCCAATGGCAGATTTGACTCATTGTGACATAGACAATATGGCCTGCAAAACCTAAAATATTTAGTTTATTTAGTATACTTATTATTGTCTCTTTATAGCAAAAAGTTTGCCAACTTCTGCCCTGGAGGCATGGGTTAGATTTTGACAGGGATAAACATAGGGATTCTTGAAATCATCTCAAGATAGGGTCTTTTCTAAAATTTTATTTATTATTTTTTATTTTTGTGTGTATGAGTGTATTGTCTGCATCTATGTAAGTGCAATACCTGAGGAGGTCAGAAGAATGTGTCAGATCC